TCATGACAAGAATTTGAGCATTTGCTACCAGCAGATGCAACATAAGCCGTAGCTTTCAAAATGTTCCACCTCAGATCACCATGAATAATTCAAACTCGTGGTCGTTTTAATCAAAATGTGGGTGGTGAAATCTATGAAACGTGCAATTGACAAGTTTTGACTAACAGAACAATACTTTTGTCTGATAAGCATAATGACAAACACAATTTTTAAAATCGTCTTAAATGATCCTGATTTGAATTTATGTTTCAGATTTTTAATTTAATAAAACGAATTGTTTATTTTAACTTTAATAATGATGTTAATAATAATAATAATAATTAATAATTTTTATGTTAAAAATTAATTAGTTAGCAAAAAATATTTAAAGTAATTACATTTATAAACAATTATTTCATTGAACAAGTAGGTAGGTGACTAACATGCACCAATTTAAAAGCCACATACACCGCCACGTATCACTTCCTCTTACCTTACACATTGCTCGATCATTGCGCTAACATTCAATTTTCTATTTTCAATACGTTGCACTGCAAGTATAACTTCTCAAGAAACTATAACTAACAAGTTTGCTGCCGTATTTTTTCTGCAAACAATTTCTAAGAATTTAGGAGCAATTTATAAATGGTCACGTGATTTGATTACGTCATAATGATGTCATCTCAACTGCATTTACACTGACTACTAAAATGAATACATAAGCAGCCGCGTGGGGAATAATGGAAATAACAAAAATGTTGTTGTTGCTATTTTTGTTGGCTTCACTAGTTTTGTATCATTTTTTTTATATTTTTCTCATTTATTTGTTTTTAATTCTATTGCTGTCATTTTGAGCTGACGATATTCAGATGAAATTTCGTTTTGTTTTTTTTTTTAATGTGGATAAAATTAATGAATTGATCGAATTATTTCATGAACGGAATGAAATGAAATAATAATACATAATTGTAAAACTTGAGATGAGGCGCTTTTATAAAATATTTTGTTATCTGAACAAAACTGCTGAACTGAATTACTGAATTAAATTGTTGATTTCAACCGTGCAGTACTCCTTGGAAACATTCACGGAGAGCAGAGGAACATCGTGGGATAAAGAACCGTTCACAGGTTGGGCCGTTCAATCGTGTTCTACTTCAAATATGTTCACTCTGTGTATTACTTCTAATAATTTTGTATGCTTGTGAGTCCCGAAATCAGTCACATCTTTAGAGGATTCTGCGTGTCAGCAAGAGAATGCATTCGCGACAATGAAATATCAATCAGTGTTGCATTCGAGATGGAAGATTTTTTTAGATCCATTATGAAGTTTATTTACAAAAGTAGAATATGAACTGATGTCGTACAACTTTGCACAATATTTCATTATTAAACAAGCTGCTTAATTTATTTTTTGTTCGAAATCAATCTGAAATTAACTGCAGTGCATTATTTAATTATTTCAATAACTATAGTATTTTTAGAATGACTAATTATTACAAAATTCAATTAATATTTTTTCGAATGAATGATTTTTAGAATAATATTTGAAAAGTTTTTCATTGATCAACTGAACAAGGTCAGTCGATAGCAGGTCCGTCCTTGACCCACCCACCGCAACCCTGGGAGGTCAAATGTCATCCTACCAGCATGTTCAAAGATGAACAAAAGTTTTTGGAAATTCCTGCAACCGCTTTTGTTACGGTAAGTTGGTTAGTCGGTTGGATGGCTGGTTAATCGGTTTGTTTGCCAGTCGGTCAGTTGGCTGGTTGGTCAGTCAGTCGGTCTTTTGGCTTGTAGTTTGGTCAGTCGGTTGGTTGGTGAATTAAGTTGATTTGTCAGTCAATTGGTTAGTCTGTTGGTTGGTTAGGTTTGTTGGTCAAATATTTGTTGTTAAATTTGTTGGCAGGTTAATTGACTAGTTGTTCAGTGATTTGGTTAGTTGCATAACAAATGAGCTGGGTTTTTAATTAATAATTTGAACGTTCAGTTGGTTTTTCATTTTAATTGTTGCTAAAACCAAACGGTTGAACGTAAAATATTAGTTCATTCCAGCAAAGCTTCCACGGCGATGATATTGTGTCGCAAAATAATTTCAACAGTAGGGCTGTCTCTTTTTGCTGCTACGAATTGATGAGTATGAATAATTGAACATTGCTCTGACGAGATTGGCGTGCACACTAGATGAACTAACCTAATTTATTTCCGATCATATTTTGAACATGATAATGAGCGCTTCGATAAATTAAATTAAATTTACAATATTTCGTGTCTGTATCTTAAAAAATTTTTGAAACATTAAAACGTCACTACGAAAAGTATTTTCAAATAAATATTGTCAAATTTATTTTCATGATATTTTCATATAATTTATTATTTATAATTTTCTCACAAATTTGAGGATCGTTTTTCAACGGCGCATTCATTTGTTTGCTCACATCTCCATCTACACATATGCACTTGATAATTTTTCAGACCTGTTTTTTGAAATTTTTTCATGGTATATTTTAATCAAATTTTAAATCTTATTTCATTTCAAAAACAAAATTTATTAGATTTATAAATTTATTAAAACTTTTATGCCGTTATTTTTAATCTATGATGTCTATTTCGATTTCTCATTTACACCCTATCATTCACACTTGCACTGTCTCATTCATTATGCCACTGTTTTTTGTTGTGTATATATCTGTTCATTTAAAATAATTTTGTTTTCATTTAACTATTCATCTATTTAATCATTCTATTGTTCATTCTCGCTTGTATTCTTTCGTTTATTCATTCACTCACTTTTTCGAATTACTCGATACTCCTGCTTACATCCATTTAACTGCAGACGTGTTCAAGTTGTGCGTCATCAGGCTGGAACATGTGTCGACTGTGCCTTAGCCGAGGTTTGCCATTTTATACAACATTCGCTAACATTCGCTTTCATTCAATAACTCTAAATACTCTTTTTTATATCATTCGATTTTGTTTAACACCTCTCAACAACATCTTTTCGTATTCCTAACCGATATCACGCTGCTTGCTATTCATTACATTTCGAAGGATGTCAATTAATAAAGTTCAGTACCGTTTAGCACAAATCAGTAACAGTAACTGTATTGTTCATTCGTTACAATTGAATATTTGTACCATTCCTACCTTTCAATGTCGTTCTATTGATATACCAAAATTGATCATCTGACATCCAGTTCCACCATTCGATACTATTTTTATCCAACATTCAGTCCTATTTGGTTTTGTCTGTAAGTGTGTGTGTGTGTGTCTATGTGTCGAAAGAGAGAGAGAGAGAGAGAGAGAGAGAGAGAGAGAGAAAGAGAGAGAGAGAGAGAAAGAGAGAGAGAGAGAGAGAGGTAGAGAGAAAATGTGAAAGTGCGTGTGTGAGAGTGTGAGTGTATCTTTCTGTATGTACTGTGTGTTTGTGATTCGGTGTGTTGAGAAAATGTTTAAAGATGGACTTGCTAAAATTGTAGAAATGAGAATGATCAAAGAGTCTTAGTAACAGGTCACACGCATTATGATAAAAATTCAAAGCAGTTTTTATTTTTTTAAATTTAAGATTCGCTTTGGACATATTTAAAAAATGCTGAAATAACTTTTAGAAATTGATACATGATGTGTTATCGTTCAAACATTAATAATAAATTTGATTACTTAATTGTATAATATTTGTTGTTATAATACCAAATGAACATTTTACTAGGAGTCGACAAATTAAAATATACGTGTGTGTTAAGAAATGAAATAACTTCTCGACATATCCTCTCTCTGGAAAATAATTTATTCAATAATTTTTTTATCACCTTAAAAATTTAACCTGAATTTATCTTCATAAACTTTGTTTTTATTCATTAAAATAGATTCTTTCAAAACGGCTTCCAAAAGATCAATTTATAAAAATCAAAGTGGAAATGATGAATTCCTACTGGTCGATAGGATACAATCACATCTTTAATCTTTTCTACTCCTCTATTAGTCACACTGCCCTGATCTGGCAACTTTTGCATATGCGTATATACCTATCATACAAGCACACATACATTATATACAATACATATAATATATGTATTATATATATGCATATATATCACAGCGTGCATATTGCTATATATCTAACCAAAAGGCAAACAAAATGGCACTGGAAATTGAAAGAACCAACAAGACGTGAAATTATTTTCGAAATGTCCCAGCAGTCACTGACATACTCCCATATTCTATTTATTCAGCTGCGGTTTTTTTATTTCCACTGTCAATCTCCATCGTTCTTTTTCCTTTCTTTTTTTTCTTTTTCTTTTTTTTTGAATTTTATTTATTCATTTATTTTTTATTTCGACTTTATTCTTGATCCTTATATTTCTCGATCACAAATTCTTTCTTTCTATTTTTTTCATTCTCAATTCTTTTTTATTCAATTTTTTTTTCTCTGTTCTTTCGTTTGATTTCTAATCATTTAGATTTTTTGTTCTGTTCTTTTTCTACTTTCTGAACATTTTTTGATTTTCTTCTACCTAGGGTCTCACTAAATTTTTTGTTAAATTTCAACCACAAAAAATAAAATATCTATTGATTTTTAATTTTTCTCTTATGAAGGGTACAATACAATTTTATCTCTTGAAGCATCGAATCAAAGTACGTAATCAATATGGGAAGGAGAATGTACGAGATGAATAATGCCAGTTTTGTGATTTATGAAGACTGAGCCACTATTTGGTCAATTAATTTAATTTGAGGAGCATAAGCAATTTTTCTTCTTCAATTTTATTTTTTAATAACTTACATTCACTATAGGCGTAGCTCATTAGGCTATTGAAAAATATTTAAAAAAGACAGTAACATTAAAAGCAACAAGCTGTCGTTATGAGAAATAAAATTTGTTTAAATTTAAATAATCCTAGTGACTGATTGAGAATGGAAATTTAAATTATAGTACACCATGAGAGAATGAAATTGTACAATGCACATCCACACAACCCAAACAAAATTTTATTGAAACGAACATTCCTCTTCCTGAAGGATACATGCGTTGTGTGAATTGCTCCGGGTCAGGAAAGTTGTGTCGGTTGGACGTGCACGGGCAGAAGCATCTGGAAACTTGCTGGCACTGCAGAGGAACTGGAAGGAAGAAGTATTATTGTTATCCTTCATTTTTATCATGACTGTCTAATTCCATTTTTCAAAAAACTGTTGAAATTTATTATCCGATTGAAAATGTTTTGAAAAATTAAATTAAGGTTTGACACAACTTGCTTTGTTTAGAAAATTGACCGGTGTATTCAATATTTTGGCCTAATTTTGAAGGTGTTCCACGTGCAGCGGAGATGGGCGGTTGCTGTGTGAGGCATGCGACGGCTGCAAAAGTGTCAAGTCATTTAACAAGTTGCACGTTCAATAGTTCGTGTCCACTTTCTCCTTTCTCTAATCTTTCTTTCGCTGATTATTATGTTATATATCAAATAATTATAATATTCTAAAACATTTGGTTTTATTAATAATATTTTATTCTTTTTAATATTCAACATTAATATAAATTTTTTGCTGCCATAAATTACTTCTTAATTTCACAATATCAAATCTTTTAAATCGTAGATTTGTCATTGTCCAATCTCTTATTAAATTTTTTAAAAAGCAAGTTCATTAAAGAAATGTTTACAAAATTTGTATCTCAAGCAAGAATCTATATTCCGACTACATCATATCACCATCTGAGTTTCCTGAACAACTTTTAAAGGAAGCCAATGGTGTTTATCTGCTGGACCAAATACAACCGAAGGTAAATGCCGTGTAATTCGTGAGTTTTTGCCTATATGGCGATTGATTGTGACGACTGTGGTTTGACAAAAAATAATGATTCGTATGTGAAAAAGTCTAAATCTGTAATAAATCTTGTGGTTTGTTTTACAACGTAAGTAATAAATTGAATAAATGGACTAATAAAATTTTTGGAAACCGTATTTTTTTGTATCAGTTGAAGCCGATAACTGATGAAACGTTGGATGACATCAGCCTATCTTCACAAACATTCCACCAACAGCACATCATAAAATCTAAAAATTCCAGAATTATCATGCAGGTGTGATTCGTATTTGTAAGTTTCTAATTGAATAAAAATTCATATGCCGTAAATAAGTTGATAAATTACTGATAATATGAAATAGTCAAAAAAAACTGATCTGCATGTAGATTGTGAATATAGGAACAAGGAACAGCAAATATATCTCAAAGATATTTCATATGATATATATATATATATATATATATATATATATATATATATATATATATATATATATATTGTTATATGAATTATTTTTTAAATTATAAATAAAATAGTAAATAAAAAAATTCAAAAAAAACAAAAAAAGATTAATCTACCAAGCTTTTAATTTTTTTTATTTTAAACAATTTATAGCCGCCCTGGTTGATTTTACTATATTAAAATTTTAAAATTTATAAGTTATTTATAATATTATTAAAAAATGGTCCAAAATTTAAACAAATGTAACTTTGTGTTAATTTGATTTTATAAACAATTTAAACACGACTAGCGACAACGAATAAAGTTGGTTCCTCTGTCTGAATGTTCTTACAACTGGTTGGACGTTGATGGGACCTTCTGGATCTACGGCAAGGATCGACAGATTCACGCTCCGGATAATCCTCAACAACTTTGCTGGGGCTGTACAATCTTATAAACATTCTTTTTTCAAAAAATTCTCCCTAGGATATTTTCTAATCGTCGGTGTAATACAATTAGAAAAGGAGTGCCTTGTCTCGAGCAATTGTTTGCAGCATTTGCGCGGAGACATGGTTCAAAAGCAGATTTTGCAAATTAAACCGTAATTATTTTTACCTGGAATGCATGATGCGGTGCAAGACGGTATGAAAAAGATGTACGTTGACTGATCTGGGCGCAACGAAATCATTTTGAATTACAAGGAACTGTTTTTATGACTCACCTAAACAAAATTTTTATAGATTTTTATACCGCAAATGTTATCATTTATTGATCTAATTTATATTTTTGTTCTTTTGTTTCTGTAAATAAAATGTTCGCTAATTTGTTATTCATTATTAATGAATTCATTCGTGACTTTTAAAAACTGTTGAATCTGCCTAAATATAATAGACTTTTAAAAAAGTATTCTAGAAGTATACAATTATAACGTTTATTCCCATAAATTTGCTTGTTTACAATTTAAAATAGATAATCGTAGTTTCACTTTCAATGAATTAATCAATCAATGTATTATACTCATACCATGGATATAGATTTATATCCATCACTCATACAGCCCAATTTCTATGAATTCATCTGGGCTAAACCTAAAACTCGCAAAACAAACATTTAGAAAGAATTTCAAAATTAGTAAAATAAAATAAAATGAAATAATATAAATAAAATAAAGCAAAAAAGCATACATGAATTTTTACTTCCATGGCTCCTTCTCTCCGTATAACTATCGTTTGCCAATTAATTTTTCAGTTGATCTACATTTCTATGATTTTATATTAATCAGAAAGTAAAAAACCTTTTTTCACCAGACTACAACAAAAAATTTGTTGAGAACCATAAACTCTGGCAGTACAAACTGTTGTGTGCGACTGGCACGAGAAATTGCTGTACTCTAAATCAAAGAGGTTTCTATATTGTTGTTGAAATTTTTTAAAATTTTTTTTACCCGGTTTAGTCTTGAATTAATCAGTTTTAATCAAAAATTACTTTTAGTTAAAACCAAAACCAGAGAACTCAAAAAACTGAAACAATTGACCACGACTTCGACTATAATAAACTCTCCGGAAACACCCCCGCTCATAATGAAGCATGATGCTTCTGAATGTGAGAAGCGAATATAATGCTTTAAACAAATTTATAATTTTCATTGGTAACGAAATGTAAACGTTTTTAATTTTTTTAACATGACACAATTTCAGCTCAAAGTCATTTCCCAAAGACAATTTACATGTATAATAATTTTATTTGTTAATTGATGTAAATTAAAAATATTTATAATATTTTAATAAATCATAAGTTGTTAAAAATAATTTTTGACTGAACGAAAACAAATTTTATTTGTGAAACAAAGCAAATGGGATATATAAAACGATTCGTAAATTCAGTTGACGGCCAATCAAACCCAGCATTCGTAAGTTAACCATCATTCATCATAAGTTACACGGAAGCATTCGTAAGCATAATCATATAACATATATCACACATTACATAGAACCATTTGTAAATACTTGTGAAACCAAAAATAATTTTTTTTGTTCTACATTTTGTCGGACAAGCAACAGTTTTTCAACTTTTAAGCTCAAGATTCATATTGTTTCGTTAATGTAAGCTAAAAAGAAAAATGTAACTAAAAAAAATTAAAAGTAAACATCAAGGAAGTAACGAATAACTGCTAATTTTATAACGAAACAAATTTCAAACGAACTACGATGAAAATTTCTTCAACATTTTGTGCACTGGTCAGGTATATATTTGTAAATGACTTCAAAACATTTATTTAACAAGAAACCAGCAACTCCAATCCACTATCCAACAACAATTCACAAACAGTTAAATCGTTATTAAATAATCTAGATAATTTTTATGACTCCACTTACCAAGTAATAATTGTATGACTTTAACTCATAGTGGCAATTATTTAACTTCTGTGTGGGACTGAACAACAATTACTAGTCATTGTATCACCATTCACCATCATCATCATTGTTGTCATCGTCTCCATCATCTACACGATATGGTATATCTGTGACGCTCCGACCAGTTTAATGCCACAGCAAATAAATACCAAATAACATTACATTTAAATGTTATAGTCTGTGTGTCATCGCCAGTATAATATAAATAATTGAATAAAATATTTGAATTGAAAATCATTGTAAATATATACTAAAAAGTTCCATCCAATTATCCAGCTTATTGGTTATTTTTTACATAACAGTAAACACATGCGGTGTTGAGGAGAGGAAGTTATTCAGTTATTGCCAGAGCTGTGACAAGACAGTGTTTTTTTAAAAACAAGATAAGGCAAAGACATTGAAAGCTCAACACAAGACCGAGACGAGACTTTCAAAAAACATGTCTCGAGACATCTAAGGACAAGACAAGAAATTGCAGACAAAAACGAAACCAAAACGAAGACGTCAAAGTTTGAAAAAATCATTAAGAACTTTTAAAGAAGTCAGATTTGAGCTGGATTTTTGTCACCTAAGTTTGAACAAATATATAAAAACGTATAAATAAATAAAACTAAATAAATAAATAAATATATACATATAAATATTTATCTGCGTATGGTTGAACATTATTTACTTGTTTACATGCGAACATGTAAGTACCTATATATAAACCAAAGAACGTATTGTGAAGCGTGAAGAATTACGATGGTTTCGCTTGTATTTGATTGATTTCGCTAGTTTGGATTGATGTGACTATCTTGATTATGTAGTAATTACTTTTAAATTACAATTATCAGATATTAACACCAAGCACTGTGAATGAAAAATTTGTTTTTCAAAATATGTTTGCATGTGTGTTTCTATTATATATGTATATGTTTTAATGTATGCTTATAGAAGAATTTACCAAAAATGGTTTGTAAAAAAATTTTTCTTATCTGCGTCTTGTTTTCAAGACATATCAAGACAGTAAAAAAAACCAGACCAAGACTGACATGGTCTTTAAAACGAGACGAGACAAAGTCGAAACTAACATTTTGAAGTCTCAAGACAAGATTAAAACTGTATAAAGCTCGTCTCGAGACGAGATGTCGTTTCGAGACGTCACAGCCCTGGTTATTGCATCTTGCAACATACAATGTATGTATATACATACGTAAGTATGTATGTTTGTCTATGTATGTTGGAAGGAGACCATATTTTATACAGTCTTGTATGTATCAAATGCCAACAATTCGGTATAATGTATGTATTATTAAAGAATTTATATCCTAGCGCCCTTTTAAACTTCTCAAAGGCCTTGCTTAAGTCATGTATGTATGTATGTATGTATGTATGTATGTATGTATGTATGTATGTATGTATGTATGTATGCATGCATGTATGTATGTACGTATGTACGTATGTATGTAGGTACGTAAGCAAGTATGTATGTGATTTGATGTATGGTCAAGCAGAAATTTTTTGTTGAGTAAATTTGTGACATACATGGCTTCAACGCTATGACCTAACATAAAAAAAACTATTACAATATATAACATTTTTTCATAAGTTATTTTGTAACAAGATGTTGTAAAGAATTGTAACGTTATTACTTATTACAAGCTGTAAAACGTAATTATGTGAGGCTGTATGTGTACGAAGACCGGATTTGTAAACGGCGATGACGCACATCAGTGATAAAAAGTGATATCGGTTAGACACAAAATGATGATGATGTAATACTTGACGTAAGTGGAAACACAATTAAAAACCTATAATAATAATAATAATAATTAATATTATTATTATAAAACAGCTAATATTAAATCAATCAATCTTCGTTTAGCGTCCTGAGACCCAGTTTCCCGAGGTAGGACGTTGTTTTCTTTGCCATCAATTTTTTGCGCCAAATTAGACGATCAGTTGTATCCATTTCGTTAAAATTTAGAGCTTTCATGTCTTGCTCGATTGTTTGCGACCAGGACTTCTTTGGACGGCCTTTGATGAATGAATAATGAGTTTGAAACAATAACGATATAAAATCGTACAAGCCTCATCTACGATCGTCAAGACAAACAACACATAAAGAGCAAAACAGCTAATATAAATTATAGTCGTAATTATTAACCGTACTTATTTTTATATTGAAAATCTTATAACCATTCCTTCTAATCCAATCGCAAAATATAATCTTCGACAACTTGAAAATTTTTAATTAAAAATCAAATAATTTCACATCACCAATGAATGAATGAGTTTGAAACAATAACGATATAAAATCGTACAAGCCTCACATTTCGTATCTACGATCGTCAAGACAAACAACACATAAAGAGCAAACCTAACAAGAGTAACGTAAAATTATTATTGATACGTCAGCCATTGAAAATGACGCATTCAACATACAACGATCACTCAAGACATTCTATTTACATTTGTATATACACCCAAACATCAGGAACATACATACATACATACATACATACATACATACATACATACATACATACATACATACATACATACATACATACATACATACATACATACATACATACATATACGTATTGGAGATCGCAAACATACGCACACACCTCAAATAACACGGATAACCATAAAGATAAATCCATACACCAAACTTCTAGACCATCCATTAATATAATAGAAAAATAAAAAATAAACAGGCATAATACGAAACATGCACCATACATCAAACATCACAGACATGCACGTCGTCCCATAAATTCTAAAGTTCGATTTTTAATATCTGCACATATAATAATCTGGTCATAGTGGAGGGGATTGTCATTACATGCCAGCCAGCACTCTCAGTACACCATTAATTATTATTGCCCATGAATCGACAATGACAACCTCATCATTTCGTCATAAAATAATTTTATTCATTTATGCCACCATCACTGAAGACAAAGAGTTAGAACAGCTGACGTGAAGTAATTTTGATATATATGTACATAAGAGTGTATGTGCATGCATGTGTTTCATGTGTGTATGTATGATTATATATATTGTAAATATTTACGTATATATGTATGTGTGAATGTATGTATATATTAGAAACACACGATGCACCAAATAATTAATCCACCATTTGGCCAAAGCTCAATATACCAAAAAGCCCCAAATTTTGAAAAAATTTCTAGAATAAAAAGCAAGCTATTGAGAAAATTTCTCATTTATGTCCAATTTTTTATCGAAATAATATTCAACATCTTGCTCAATTTCTAATTTTTTAAAGGCTAAATTTTTCGCTAATTTTTGTTCTGAAAGGCAAAAATAATTGTGGCTAAAGCGGAAGATGCAATAATGACTATTCAGCTTTTAAAAACATACAAAGCCTAACCTTAAATTTCGGCTAAATATTCGGTGCATTTCTAATATATAAAGCAGATGCACAGTGGCGAATCTACGGGGGGCTTAGTGAACAGTATTTGTATTAAAATTCAGTAAAACTGATTATTTTAACCGAAAATAGTACCGTTTGGACTAAAAAAATGACGTGATAAGAAAAAAAGGTTGTCAGCTACAAATGTTGCCTCCGGGTAAAATTTTGGCTTCCACTGGTCAACACATTTAAACATTTTTTTAAATTCTCCCCCTCCAATCCGGTTAATGCTGAAAAATTTCAAAATTTAGGCCCCCTCCGCTAAAGCTTTCTAGATCCGCCACTGCAGATACACATAAGATAACATAGCGTAGTTGTATTTGTGATGTTGGGCCCCTGGGCAGAGGCAGGCAGTCAGCACAATTACAAAAATAATAACAACGATGATGATGGCAGAATAAAGATCGTATGAGTGCAACAACCTAACATATCATGTTGTTCCGTTCTCAATGTTTATTATATCTGTCTGTACAGTATTGTTCTATATTACGTAGGTTAGATAACACTTTACAACGAATAAATGGATATAACTTCTACTATATTAACGAATGTTTTTAGAATGAATAAAATCATCAAAATCAAAAAGAGTATTTCATTTTAAAAAAACTTTCAAAGTAGTTAGAAAACGGGATAACTTGCACAAACATTTATATCATTTCACAAATTTACAGCCACCTGATATAACAACAGGTAAGATAATTGATTTTAAGTAAATTGTAACGCGTTAACAAGGTGGTTATATAAGCTAAGTCCCAAAAATCCAAGTTGATTGTATTATATTATATAAAAGAAGTCAGTTTACTCTATGGTGTCAAGTAGACCCACAAACACAAAATGCAATGAGGACCAGAGCATTGATTCCATCCAGATAACATGTCTTCAATCTGGCTGGGTGCCAATTATTAATTTTTTTAGATACTTCCATTCACATTCACTTTACACCAACATCCACAATTAACCATGAAAATATTAAATAAGAATATTAATAAAAAAAATTCTATCAAAAGAGCTTAAAGTAGGTAAATGATGATGTTTATGATGGTGACTAAGATATTGGTGATGATTTGTTGATCTGTTGATCTTGGATGTTGATGACTGCATCACCCGTTAACTTGATAACCGAAGATGATGATGAAGATGATGAAGGTAGAGTAGTGGGTGAGGGGTCAATTGGCTTGAAACCTGCAATAGTTCATTATCGATTGGTTGGTTGATTGGTTGGTCAAATGATAAGTTTGTTGGTTGGCTGGTTGGTCAGTTATTGTTTGGTGTCGTTGATGATTATAATTTGTTATTCATTTAAAGAGATTTTTTTCAAGAAAACGTTAACAATAAAAATTAGCAGTAATAAGTAGCAGAACCAAATGATTGAAAAAAATTAACTCGTAATAAAAATATTTTAAACTATCCAGTAGCTTAACTATTTATGGCTGTTGTTGTTGTTACTAAAAAAAATTAAAAATAAAATTTGAGAACACATAAAAAATTATTAAAAAACTTATTTAAGAACACAGAGTGAATAAAAAACCGGATAATTGTGAAAAATGAATGATCAAACAACTGGATAAAACAAATGGGCAGATGGATAAACGAATGAATAAATATATGAAACAATGAATGAATGAACTAATGAACGAACAACTAAATGAATGATTGAATTAACGAATAAATGAACGAACGAATGAATAAATAAATGAATGACAGACTTGTTGCATTGTTTCCATCATCAGTGCCTTCCTCCATGCTGGGCCAAGGCAGAGCATTCACTTTATTCAGTCTCTCGTTCAGTGCCTTCAGTGCCAACTGTCTGATCGCATTGCAACAAAAAAAAGTTATTTCAAACAATTTGAAAACTCGAAACAATACTAATGTGAGGTCGTGATTTCTCTGCCAAGATGATCTTTGTGCAATCAGAATACACATTGTACATTGTGACATTGCAAGCAGTTTAAATAAAATAAACCACTAGGAATCAGTGTTCAAATGTAATAAATTAATTTATGACAGCACTGTAATTATTACAGTTGCCCATGACAATAATTGGATTGATGTGATATAAACATCAAAAGAGTCAATATGTGAATAGTAATATTCTATTCAATTTTTTGACAATATAGTTCAAGTGGATGGATGTTTTTATGTTTTTACAATTTAAAATAGCATGTCTGCATGTTTTTCAAATTGGAACATTAAAAAAATGGTTGTTACCCAGAAAAATAAATAAATATTTCACTTAAAATATTACTTTAAACATACTGAAAGAAGACACCCATCAAATAACAACAGGCTAATTCATCATGCAGTTATTAAGCCATCAAAGCACTTAAAGAATGCTTGTAAGTACTGCAAGTAAGAAAAATGTCAGGCTGGAAGTTTAATTTAATTTGATGAAGTTTGAAAAAGTTAATGTGCAATTAATTTTAATTTCAAGTTTAAACATGAAAATAATTACAGAATTAATTTAACTATAAAGAAGTTAAACTTTAATTTTTTATAGCCAAAGTGTAGGTACTTTGATTTGAATTGCAGTTTAATTTTATTTAGTATGAAACAAAAATTATGTAGAAATGTTTTGTAAGCAAATCAAGTGGAAAGAAAACCTCCTCCTTTCGGCATCGTGAATATCAGCTCCAGTCAGATTCATGTGCACAACAGGAGCTTTGAATTCAAACTTGCGTTGAGTGTTTGTGCAGAGATGTAACTTCACCAGCACAGCAAAAATTGTGTTAGACAAGATTCCAACATATAGAGATACTGGATCTGGGAAAAAACTTAATGGGAATAATATGACTTTTGAGTTTTTTAATAATGTTATTTAGATTTATGCAATAGATAAAATAAATTTAAATAAAATTAATGAAACACATGAAATGACCTTGCAAATGAAAACCCTTCCGCTGAATCTCCCTTGGTGCCATCTTTGTGTCTCTGGTAGAATCTTAAATAGATCCAACTAATGAAGAGACCAAACAAAAAGAGAGTTAGTTGTGGAGAGAGGATAAGATGAACTATGGTGGCCAACATCATGATGAATGCTGCAAGCAGTGGGATGTGTCTGTTACGTATCTTCATCAACGGAGTACTCAACAAAATTTGGTCCCCCATCGTTTGTTTCAACACGACCGTCAGGCCAGCCGCATAACCTGACATGCCATACACAGAAGTATCAAACAAGAGGTGAACATCTTGAGTGAATAAGTATTGCAACAAGTAAAAGCAGGTTGTGAGGACAGCAACTGACGTGGATACAATGGCGTAAAAGCGAATCATTTCCACAAAGCCCCAGAGGGGCTCAACAACTTTGCCGTACATGACAATGACCACGACATTGCAGGCCACCATCCATATGTGGTGTTCGATGAAACTGTAGGTGATTACGGTCCAAAAATCAAAATTAGGGGGAATCAATTTGCCAGGATATATGGCCAACAGATCGGTTGCTGATTTAAAGTAGGACAACAAATGACCAAAAAATATTGAAATACAAAATATTTTAACAAAAACATTTAAATTGAATAATGATAACTTTTCATTCATTATTAAAGTATAAATTCTGTTTGAAATAGAAGCTGTCATTTTTACAAATTAAAAAATAAATAGTAAGCAAAACAACAGAAAGAACTAAAGGCCTCAACAGTTAAGGTTGGCTAATAATTTTCTAACCAAATTATTCTCAATGGATGTCTTTATCATTTTATTTTCAAAAATTTAATTAAAATAATTTTTTTATATCGTAAATATTATAGCAGTTAAGTTATTTGTTGCCAAAGCAATGACGCAGCCAGTTGTTAGTGTTAGTATCGAAATAACACTTTTAGTGTTGTTTATATTTGCCTAAGGATTTTTATTTTATCGTCGGGGTTCATTCATCCGTCAAACAAAAATCGTCTTCTTTCTCTTCAAAGTTGTTAAAATGGAGTTTTTGTGTTGTTTGTTATGAGTCAGTAACGAGTCAACTTTTGTTCCGTACCCCGTAAGGTTGATTTTTAACATATTGAGGTTGATTGTTATTTTGTTGATGAAGTATGTAATCCATGAAGTATGTATTACATTGTAATCATTACAATGTAATCGCAATGATTATGCATTATGCATTTAGAAATTAGGTTTAGTTTTATTAGTTTAGTTTAGCTTAGCTTTAGTTAGCTGTTAGGTTTAGAGAAGAGAGGGATATTTAATCAATGTTCTGTATATAAGTTAAATTAAATTTAAGTATTAAGTAAGTTGGATAATAAATTTCTTCCTTGATTTATTAATTGGTGATGGTGAAGCAAGTTTTTTTCATCTGGTGGTCGATTTATTTTTCTAATGTTTTTGATTTTTCTATCTGTCTATCTTCTATCAAAACAATAATAATAACATTCAAAAAATGTAATGTAACAACCGAATTTCAAAATAACAATAAGAAATTGAAATTGTCTGTCATCAAATCAAATGGAGGTTTTTTATTTTTATGACTAGAAGTAAAAGTTATTATTATTATTAAAAAGATAAACTATTCTTCAAGCCCTCATTTTATTTTCAGCTAGAGTTTATATTTTATTTGTATATTAATATGTATTTTATTATTTAAAGTTTACTATTTAGCAGTCATATCTGTAAGAGTAATAAGAATTTAAATATTAATTATTATTTAATTACAAATTAACTAACTTAAATGGATATTTTAATTGAATAAACTGTAAATGCCCACAATCAAATTGTGGAAATTTATCACATCACAATGTAAAGCTAGCTAGTGAGTAACAGTAACAGACTAGTAGTAGATAGACTGATAGAGTTAAGTAATTTGTTTAGTTTTTATCAAGCTGTTACTCCCAAGTAATTAACTCTACTTCTGTTCTATTCTACTGCCTATAGATAGATTAACACTTATGTTTCGTTATGTTTCTAAAGTGATTAAGATCTTTTGGTAAAAACTTTTTATGAATTTTTTTATAAAATATAAATAGTGTAGCTATAGTATAGCATAAACAAATTCATCAATTCTATTAAAACTTCCATTGATAATGCTGCAACAAACATCATTACTAATGCCCTTACCCCAGATATTTGCTTTCTGCCGGAAATTTTTTTCCAGAGCTCATCTTATTTATATTAAAATAAAAGTATACAGAATTTTATATGTTATTGTAATTTTAAAAAAACAATGGTGAACAAGTGAGTGGTTTTTAAATTTGTATGATTGGATGAAAGTTATGAAAAAATACTGTTTCAAAATATTCTATTTATACTAGGAGATGTAAGCCCACTTTTATACTTTTCATATTGATTAAATAGTGAGGTATTTTTACTAGTTTCTCATTATCCTGTTTCAAATATTTGTTTTTATGTTAAAATTAGCATAACTAAATTTTTTGATAAAACAGGTAAAATTGATATATGATGTCTAAGAAAGATTTCAACAACAGTTTCAAACACAACGGGTCAACACCAACCATGCACAAACATCACCATTCAAGGGCTCTCAGTAGTGATTTGTCACCAAGCCACCATTCCTCCTCCATTTCACCATTCAGAGAAATGCTATCTATGTTAATTAAAAAAATTTCTGGCAGCAAGTCAAACAGCAGCAAAAGTAACAATGCAGAGTTAGTTGACAATGATGATTTCTGCTACATTTAATTTAGTGTTTTTATTTTTATATCATGTAAACAATGGCCCCATATAAACAATTGAAATTAAATATATTCTACACATTTACTCATTTTCTTAAATGGTAATATAAATGTTTTGTTATATATTCATCATAATTTCTTTTTCACCATCCTAATTAGTTGCCATCATTCAAAGAGTGTTGATCGCAAACATAAATCGATGAATGCTTCATATTCCTGGAAAAGTCGTCCTCGTCACGTCGATAAACCACTAAGACTTTCGTGTTCAGAGGAAAGTATTCACTGTTGCACATGCAAACAACATAGCAGGCCTTCTAAAGGTTCTTATTGTTCCAGAGAAAAATCTAAAAAAAAGTCCATTCTGAATGATACTGGCAAGGCAACGTGTAGTAAGCAGATTGAGATCATAACTGGTAGTAACCTGAACAACAATTGCTTGCTTGATGAATCTTGCTCAAATATCAGACAGTCAATTAACTCTCTGAAAATGGTAGAAACAAGTTTTTTACATGATGTCATTCCATCATATGACAGAGGTTATGGACATGCGTCAGCCCCATTTAGTCAACATGATAGCGATGACGATGAAGATGATAACAATGTTTACGATCTAAATGAAATAGATCCAAATGTTCTCAGTCAAACATTGTCTAATAATTTACCATTAACAAATCAAAATAAGATTGCCAAAATTCAGTTAAGACCATTACCAAGAATACAACCTCACTATGATAAAGTGAAGGATGACAACAGACAAACAAACTCAGCTGGAAACAATGAATGGAATTTAACAAAAGAACTATTGCAACTCTCACGTTATGGTTGGTATTGGGGGCCGATAAGTCGATTGGAAGCAGAAGAAAAATTGAACGGCCAAGCGGATGGAACATTTCTTGTTCGCGACAGTTCCGACGATCACCACTTACTTAGTCTCAGTTTTCGTTCACACAATGTAACATTGCACACACGAATTGAACATTGTGATGGCGTATTTTCATTTTATGCTCAGCACGAAAGCGAAGGACGATCTTCGATAGTTGAGCTGATAGAGAGTTCAGTCGCTGATTCACAGGGTGGGGTGTTCTGTTATTCAAGAGCCCGACATCCCGGCTCTCCCAGTTTTCCTGTTCGATTAGTTAAGCCACTGTCCAGGCTTGCTAATGTTAAATCTTTACAATATTTGTGTCGGTTTTTCATTAGACAAAACACCAGGGTCGACTTGATACAAAAGTTACCGTTGCCACTTAGTGTGAGGCAATGGCTTGAGGAAAGACAGTATTAAAACATTTTTCTTGCTTGATTCTTTAATTTATAATTTTTTTTTACATCTTTTTTCTGGATTTTTCATTTGTTGTGTCTGACGATCATAATTACGTTATTGATATATAAATTCATTCATTCATATACTTGTATGTATTGATATGTAAATATGCCACCATGAACTTTTAAAACTTTTAACAGTACATTCAGTCCGAAATTATATATATTTATTTATTTATTGTGAATAAACCATGTTATTGTTGTAACACTTTAACGCTCGTTACTAACAAAACAAATGTTATAAACTTTAAACGATCTCTATATTTCCAACACCAGTGTTGCAGCTTTCAAGTTATCGTTATTCCATATGTTCAAGATTTCCGATAGATGAACACAACTGCTTCTAACGCAAACTTAGTTGAACGTTTATTCGAATCTCGGAACACTAAACTAATCCAAGTAACTACTTAACTCACATTTATGACTTCGCTTCAAACTTCGCTACTCCTGCCCTTATATGGCTTCTTCAGTAGATTTTTACAATCCTCTATGGAATGGAATGTAAAGATTCCAGGGCTTCGGACCGGAACAGAACCGAAAACCGATATTTTAGCCGGAACGAAACTCGAACTGAACCGAAATATTTTTTGCTTGCCGAACCGAAACCGAAAACCGGAACGAAAAAAATAACGTTCCGGTTCGAAGCCGTTAATATATTTTTTATAACGAGCACTTCTATAAATAATTTTTCTTTGTTATAATAAGTCTTTGTTATTTTTCAATGTTTGTATAATTAATATCTTTGATCATTTGTAATCTTCTATTTTTTTTCTTCGTCACTTTACAAATTTGCGCCAGTAGGATTGTGATGACCATTTACAACATTTAATAACTTTGATGGGCAAAAACGTTTCCCGGAACTGAACCGATAACCGGAACCGAACCGAAATTTTATCTGGAACGAAAACCGGAACTGAACCGAAATATATTTTGTTAGTCGAACCGAAACCGGAACGAAAAAAATTACGGTTCGAAGCCCTGAAAGATTCTATAGTTTACAATCGATGACAAATGGCGGAAATAACAGATAACAATTAATTGTATAGCGTAATTCCTCAATTTCAGCGGTAATAACATTGCCCTCACCTTAGCCTGTTATTTCCTAACATAGGCGTTACTTCCTTAAACCGATAAATAGGGGATAAACAATTCAAATGGACAAGCTTTATCTTTGCCCGTTGTCCCTCGAATCACGTTATTTTTCTTGTTAATGATTTTTTACCGATCTTTCCAATTTCTTAGAAGTTTCACCTGGCATCGCCTTTTTCTGCGGCGTAGATTGTAACACAAGACAAGGTCTTTTTTTTGAAACTTTAGTTATTTCTTTTAAGGTCATGTCAAGTTTTCATTGTTTCAGTTCTTTTAACCATAGGCCGACGTCGTGGTCCTTTCTTAATTTTGTTAGCATTTGAAGCAAATGCTTTCTTTCTATTGAGTTTACGAGGTGTAGAATGACCTGTCGTCGTAATCTTCATCACTGTCTACAGCAGTAATGAAAAGCATTAAAAATGAAAGCAGGTGAGTTGCTTACAGTATGATTCGAGTAGTAGTCCCGCTGCATATCAAAAGTTTCAATGTCTTTATCACTACCAACTTTTCTAATATTTTCAAAAACTTCATTGTCGTCTTCGTCATCAGCTTCATTACTACAGTACCAACTTCCTTTCTTCACGTTAACACGTGCATCACTGTTGTCAAGTGCATCGCAGTTGTCACGCGCGTCGGAGTTATTATACATTTTCAAATATTAAAATTGTATTACTTAATTATATCTACGACAGTCTCAATCCTAATTTTATAAATATACGTGTATATGAGTATATGTATATATAAATGTATATATATATATATATAAACCTGTGTGAGTGCAAGGTACGTGGATGGGTATGCTCAGAAGAGCTGTCACTGTAGAGCCCAGGTGCCGAGACCTCGATGATGTGGGAAGTAGTCAATAAAACGACAAACCTGCCATATTGTGTTTGCTGTATGGGAACCTTCGTCTGACAAATTCATTTTCAAATTTATATTATACTTGGACGTTTTATGGTGTACGAATGCTCGTAACAAAAGTTCCAATGAATTTTTGTATCTTGAAAATTTTTTGAAAAAATGTAAATACATTTAACGGTTTGTATAGTGGACGCTGTCTTGTTTAATTTAAAATCTTGTTTAAATTGAGTTTTTGATCAGTCGATTTGTTGAGCTTTTATTTTTATGCACTTGAAATTATCTCATTACTACAAATCCTAAATGATAGTTAAAGAGCCCTTGCATGCACTAATTTGTTACCTTCAAATTGGAATGGGACGGATACAAGAAATCGAGATATGTCGGATCCGAATCCGGACCCAAGGTGCATGCGTGCCCGTGATTAAGTATTTTTCAAACCAAGTTCCATCCCAACTTAGGACACCGAGACCAGTCAACAATTTAGCGCTTTCAATAATGTGGCTATTGAAGCATACTTCTTTGCAAGACTTGTCGGGTATCTTTGTGCATTAATGAAAATCAAACGAAAAAACTAAATAAATTTTAATCGATTGTCTAAATTGCTTTGATGATGTTCGTGAGGATTGACGCCAAATAACATTTCCTGTTCATTGCTCAACCGATTGACTGTTTAGTTGAATGGACGCAGCTTTTTTGATAGACCGATCATTTTGTTGACTATCATTTCTCAATTTTTATTTGGATTAAAAATACATCATACTATTTCTATCCCTAGCTATTGCTCAAGTTTTTCGCGAATTCAGGATACTACAACAGTGTGAAAATACATACGCTACAAGTTTTGGCAGCTTTTTGAAAGCATTGTTTTAATAGAAATATAATTTTCAGCCGCTTTTTAATAACTTTTCAACAAAGTAATGATTCCGCAAGCATCAATAGCGGTGTGCTTCCGCGTATAATTATACAGAGAGGAGAAGAATGAGAGAAAGATTAAATGTTAATTTTTATTATGAATTACATTAACTATTTATTCGTTTCTTTTTGTGTACAAATTTGCAACGGTTCTTATGTGAATGAAGCTGGGTGCAAATGCAAATGATGTTAAACATGCCATAAAAAAATTTTGGATGGATTTTTTTCTTTTAAAAAGAGCAGGTTGAGCCATTGCCATAAATCGTGTGAATTGAACCCACTTTTAAGTAGTGTTACAATTTGTCATACATCTAACCGCAAATAAAATTTTAAACATTTGTTTAAAAAACAATATAATACTCGTTGCTAAGATTATAAATTTTTATAAATTTGAATTGTAGGAGAACCAAATTAGCAGATACAATATTATATTACATTTTAAAAACATTGTAAGTTGCAACCATGGATATATGTTACAACATGTTTCGTTACGTACGTACCATAGACACTTCAGATTATCGATAATTTAATAATTTAAGGTGTTTATGGTACGTACAAACATGCATTTTCTATTAATCGATACGTAACTGGTTCAGTTATAACTTTATCTGTTAATTTACGTATCAAGAACATTTTAATTGAATTACGTGTCTCCGTCCAAGCAAACAATCTGTCACGAATATTAACGTGGTTTCAATCAAAGGTAGTGAGTGCTAAGCTTTGGTTTATAGAATGTTTAATTATTTTGCAAATACTGGAAAAGTATTAAAAAATATAAAATTTTCGTCAGAGTTGCATTCTTTTGCAAAAAATTGTAAGTGATCTGATGTTTATGAATGATTGTCAAACAGTTCTAGCTATGTAACTGAACAATTAAACCTGAATCATAAGCAGTAGCGTTTAAGAGATTCCAATTTTTACAATCTTGGCTGGTTGCATGGAATAGTCATGCTTATGTTGTCACTGAACAATAGCACAATATTCAAAATGCTAAAGTGTTTTAAGCTACGTAGAACACAAAACAACTAGTGTGTGTGTGTGTGCACGCAGTGATCGAGCGTACGACGAATACTGATTAACTATTTATGCACAAAACATCAGAACAGCCTCCGAACTGAACTGAATACATTACGTTGAAACTGACGCACGTTCATTGCACATGTGCACACCATACACAACTTTTTCGTACACTAATTCGAACGTTACCTTATCCGCGAGTTGTATGTGCCGATTACGAATTGTAACTGGTAACGTTGATTTTTTTTGTTGTCTTTTATTTTCCTCACTAATTCATCTGTAATTTTCGTGCCATATTTTGATTTACCGCCGGCATAAATCAATTTTACAAACAATCGCAACCAAATGCATGCGTTAACTTATGGTGGCCCACAGTAAGATGGGAATGTTTGTTAGATGCACGCTGAGCTACATTTACGTATAAAACTCAGAAACGCAGAAACGCACCTGTTTGTTTATGTTTACAAAACCACGCAACGAGTTGCGCGAACTTTGTTCATCGCTTACATACAATCAAAAGGATACTCGCATCGCAAATATGAAATGTTTTATTTTTGAAGCTCCGAGCAAATCTAAATTCATTTTAAGAATTCACATCTGTATTTTATTTAACTTCAACCAACTCTCAATGTCTGTACGTGAAACACATGAATACTACTAGTTCTACATAAAACTGTTCGACCAATGAAATGTTGAACTTTTGACCGCTGCGTAGATTGCAGGTGGCATTGGCATAATGTAAACAATAACATATCACAAGCACATTCAAGCTGGCCAGTTTATCGGCGAGTCGTTTTAAACATGAAATATGGAAATATTTCACAACTAAAGTTAAACTTTTCTTTGTATAAATATTTGTTAAACTTGAAAACTCGTCGAAATTGTTTTGTCAAAATTAAATTAAAACACTCGGATATCACATTTTGTCATATTTAACGTTGAAGACGTCGTACACAGGAGTTTTCCAAGTTGGAATTCGAAACCATCGTAGGTCCGTTGCTGGCGTTGATGTATCTGGTTGTATGCAATGTCCGATGAAACTTCTGTTCATTAATGATACAATTAAAAGTTTGTAAAAGTTATTCTCACAAAGTGTTCAGTTTGTTGAGGTAATTGAAAATCAGTTGTGAAATCAATAGAATCTTTCTATGACATTTTTAAAACAAGCTTTTCAATAACTATATTATTAATTAGATTGAACTAAATCGAAATTTTTGTAGCTTATAGAACGTTTTGATAGTTTAAATTTATAGAATTTAAATTTTTAGAAATTTAAATTTTGAGAATTTGAAAATTTTGAGAATTTTAAATTTAGAACTTTATTACCAGCACATTTAATTTTTAATTGACCTTGTCGTTCCAAGCGTTTGCTAAATAAATGAGAAATGACCAGATGAGTAAACAAATGAATGATTGAGAAATGGTTAAACATGCGTTAACCGGATCTGCCCGTTGTGTTCATCAAATTTGGAAATATTCAGCTGTCAGGCGCCGTGAGTGAATTCGAAGAATTGTTGCGTTTTGTTTATTGCTAAATATTTGTGTTGTTGTGTTTAACGCTTTGCCACATTTTACTAATCATATTTAACCATGTTGCATAGCGTTTCAAGATACGGCCGTTCATATTCATACATATTATACATCCACATCTCTTGCTTCAGGAGACGTGTTATAATTGCTAATTATAAATGTCTGTGTATAAATTTTGCTAACAAATATACATACAGCCCGTACTTTCTGATTGGTAGTAATCTTGAAAAACAACAACAAACACGCGCAACACAAACACATATCGCAAGTGGAAATATTGCTAAATTACTAGAAATCATTAATTTATTGAATTATGAAAAAATTTAAAATCAAGCAATTTCAGATAGCGTATAAAAATGACGAAATCTCTGATTTGCTGTAACTAACCACAACAAAGCGATGTACTTAATGCGATCAAAATCATTATTTGATTCAATTACGTACAGCTATAAACGTTATTTTACGATAGTTGAAAAGTACAGAAACGCACCAAGTCTTGATGGTAATTCACGGTACAAGAAATTATTATTATGGGCCAATTTATTTTCATCTATTTTCTAATCGGTGTTCGATAATTTATGAACGCCCTTTTTGATAACAACGTTAATTACATTCGAGTTAATGTTAATACAAACACTTACCACACACACACACACCATACAAACACACACCACGTACACCACACCACACACACACACCACACACACTCACCATACAAACACACACACACACATGAATACAAATACATGTTTATATAGACGCACAAGCTCATAGACTCACAAACACAAATGATCGAAATTAAATACAAATACGCACAGACGTAAACAAACTTGTTAAACAAACAAATAAATCTTATGAAATAAACAAAACAAATGAATTTATTAAACAAACAAACACATAACAACACTTAAACACATGCTCAAATTATCATTCGATATTTTTAGATGTGATTATATATTTGAAAGAATAAATAAATGTTAATGAGATTGATTACGTCACGCAGGTAAGAGAGCCACAATGACTAAACGAGGAAGGATCGTTAATGACATGTTAATGAGTTCCAATTGAATAAATTAATAAATTAAATAAGTGAGTGGACCATCGTAAGTTCACCATCAACATTATATTTGCCATCTTTGAAAACAAAATACTACCTTTTATAATTCAATAACCTCACCCCTCACTCCGAGAATTAATTATTTTTAGAAGCTTCAAATGAGCATTTTCAACACGTTTTTCATCGTAGTGACGTCTGCTTCCGGCTAATTAAAATTTGGATAATTATTTTCAACGAACAGCGGGATGGATAACGAATGCCCAGAAACGAAATGTGTCATTAGTGCACCGAACTACACGTCTGCGAGTTTTTCTCTTTTTCTGCCTCTATTTTTTTTTTGCATTCTGTAAAAAATTTGTGTGTAGTTTATTCAGTTCAGGTCGCATTATTGCCTTGAACGTTCATATAATAATCTGCATAATCCACATCAATTATTTCATTAGTGCGTGTACCTGCAAACACGCATCCAACAAACCAGACTCAGAAAAGCATAAACTTACAAACATGTGGAGTTACAAGAGTTCATACCATATTGTAGAGATATATAAATAAACATGCAATGATTAAAATGCAAATACACAACAAAGAAATGCATCCGATTTTAAATGACTTATTGAGCAACAAGCATTTGTTACATAATTTTGTAATAGAGCGGCCCATTCATTAAAACAAACCAAAAAAAACATCATTTAAACTTAACGGGGAGTTGTGGAGTTGTTTCGTGGCTTTCCATTGGAGTTAGTCTGGGTAAATCTAAGTAGTAATTTTAAATGTACACTATTTGCATCAATTAATTTAAAAAAATATAAATTTATGTAGATTTTGTCTAAGTTTCAATAAGAACTGAATTCCGTAAAAATTGCATGAAAACTTTTACAAACAAATAATAAGAAGAAAAAGAACATACATACACACGTACGTACATACACATACATACTTTTCACTACTTTCTAAAACAATTTATATATACAAACTTTTTTTACACGCACATGCGACGTACGTAGACGAAAACATCTCGTATCGTATGACATACAACGTGGGCATTTTTAATGGTTAACGTGTTGTGTGAGTTCTGGGCTGATTTGAATTAGGCTCATTCGTCATTTTAACTTGATACGTGGATGTTGTTTTCAAATAACTGTAGCTTTTTGGATTAAATAATTTATAACTTTTCCATTTTATTGTATATCTGTTTTTTAGGTGAGAAGAATTTTTCTGTTTTATAAAATTTGCTAAATATTTTTATCTTTCATTCAATGAATAGCCAAACGCCTTTTTAGCATATCGTTTTCGGTTTTAAGGATTTTAATATTTGAAAGTGTCTGATACTATTTGTTTAGGTTTAAAAATTATTTTGTAACGCGTTTATACAGTTATACAGACTCTGCAAAGCCATTCTCGGACATATGATTGCAGATTATAATTGATAACTTTTTACCAGTTTGACAATTTCTCTCAATAAACAAAAGCGTGATATAAACCGATAATTGATAATGCAGATTGATATTTTAGCAAAACTCAAACTAAATTATTTCTATAAATTAAAAATATTGTCATAGAAATTTGTCCACTGCAATTTTTTCGCTATAGAACTAAATCATTTTAATGAGTTTCAACATTTGATTTATTTGATTAGCGCTACGAATGTTTGTCATTTTTTTTATGTCATATTATGAACTTGATTTTTTTGAGGTACAAAGCATTTTATCACTATTTTTCTGCCTCACGTTCTACACATAATAGGAGTATCCTGTACACAAACGTATAACTTATTTAATCACACAGAAAAGTATTTAGTTAATTATTTATTTAATATGTTTAAATATAAAAGTAGCATAGTCTGTGTAAATTATCTCCAGAAATATGAATGTAATTGCTGTAATCTATCGTTAATGTGAAACGCCTAAACAATTAAATCCATATAAGCTGAATTAGATTAGACTTGGATGCAGCTATATGTGGCTTATGCTCTGCGCATATGTGATGACTTACGAAATAATTGATGATTGAAGTTTGTATCAGCGCTCATTTTTTAAGTTTTACCAACAATTTTTGAGGTAGAAAATAAAAATCGATACAACATTAGGTAAATAGGAATAATGTAAATTAGCTCCTCGGATTATGAATTTTTCTGTAAATTTCATGACTTTCACTAACTCGAAGATTTTATACTGATTAATATAATAATAAAAATAATTTGTTTGCGGCAACAAAATTTTTAATATCATTTTGAATAAAATTTAAAACCATAGAACCAACCGAGTTACAGAATGTACTCAAATGATAATTGGTCAAGTTATTGTGACACAAATTTCAAAGCCACGCCCCAGGAGATACTTATAAACGTCGATCTTTTGGGCTCCACTCCAATCTATTTGAAATATTTGAATAGTTGGAAAAAGTGTATCATACAAGGCAGCAATGAACAAGTTGTCAGGCAATCGATCAGAAGATACGAAAGATTTTGGCTAATCCTTCTGAACCAACTATTAAACACAAACAACGACAAACACGATAGTTACGAACTTGAACCACCGCCAGATGTTCACTGGATCTGGATGTTGCATTTACTTCAAACGGATAATTACATAAGTTATTGCATTCAACGATTTGGAAGGATTCTTCCGCATCGTTTCTGTCGAACCGAATCTGAACAAGCAGTTTGCAGGTCTAGAGCTGCTCATGCCTGGCAGAAAAACTTTCCCACAGAACCCTTCTATCTTGAGAGTAAAGAAAATCATGATAAACATGATAAAATCGATAAAGATGTTATTTCGACTTCTTCTTGGTCTGTTAATGCAACAAGATTAAATCATCTGCTTGATTCTGCTAAAAAAGAGAAAGAATTTATTTACAGGATTGATATGCCTCACTTTTGCGATCAAACCTTCCAATTTAACGCAAATTTTCGTTATCGAGAGTTTCTGGCTTTGAAACGTTTGTATCCTCAATGGGTGCCAATGTACTTGCCAGCCGACATCGAGTTGATGTGGAGGGTGCACCGGACGCAGCCCATCCAGTATCTCGATGACATCAATAGAATTTTTAACAGTCGAAAAGTCATCAACAATTTTTCTGGAAAAGATTATAACGATAACTCAAAGCTATTACAAACATTTGACATGCATATGACATACAACACATTTTCATATGAGCAAAATAGCCAAATGCAATTAGCTATAATGAGCGAAAATCAATTTTGGAGTTTGAACTACCCGAATGATGAAAATTCTTTTTTTGTCGATGGTACCATACCACGGTCATCGGCATTTTTCGAAGAAACTAAATCAAATCAATCAAAATTATCAACATTAAAAAATGCTGTTCAAAATTCACAACAATCTGAAAAATTGCTTTTGAAACACTTTCCTTGTGAAGAATTTGAAACATTAGCAGTAGAAAATTGTGAACTGATATTCAACAATGTTTGCGTTGAAGAGTTATGGACCAAACCAAAAATGTTCAAATTGAAAGCTTATTTGTTAGGAGCAAACTCATTCCAACAACAACTTATTTTTGAAGCAAAGGGCCACATTGGCCACATCGTTAGCGAAACGGATAAAAAACTCAAAACGTCCAAAACTGAACCATCCCATCTCGGAAAGTGTAAATTCGACTCAAGAGAAAATCGAGGGATAGAACTTCAAGTGTTTGCTGGTCATGGATTTGGATGTTTCATGAAGTACAGACCAATCTCAAACAAAATATTCCACCCACTTCAAAATTTATCTCTCGATAGATATGCGTCAACACAGGATCTTACCTGCGATCGCACTAACAATGATTATCTACAACTAAAACAAAAGGTATTTAGATTTTCGTTTAGTTTAATATGTATATATATTTTTATTTTACACTCTTCAGTACATTTCAGTGAAGTGCTTTAAAGCGTAATTGATAAGTATGTATCTGAAAATTATGTTGAAAATTTTTTGAAAAACTATAGTGAATAAAGTACTTGAGGAATTATGTTATTGATTTTGCCCGCAAAATACATTAAACGTACAACTGACAGATGGTCTTACCGAAAGTGACGTACACAGATCCCAAAATCACACTGAGCTACACTGCAGAAATAGCTAATAGAAAACCATTTCAATTCACGTTGGACAGGAATCCAGGTGAGGTAATGGAACTGCCTGCTTACCTGGATATATATTTGCATCATGTTTCCGTATGGCAACAAGCTAAAGCTGATACTGAAGAAGGTCAAGAATTTTTTGTCGCCAGGCACAGGTAACTCAGTTATTAGACTTTCTTTTATATTGATATTCACGCAAAATATTATGAACTTAATTAAAAAACCATATAAACAGTTTAAAATGCAAAGAAGCTTTCTTAGCTTTTGGTGTCGAAGTGATACGAAATGATATTTACAACTTATGCGCAGTGCTGCTCTTCCACAACAACAGTCAGTTGGTAGCACTTGCGTATACTATTGACTCCGGCTATTTGCCTAACTCCACACAAGTACATCTTTAGTTTTATTTTATGTTTAATTTTTGTTGTTTTTAAATTGTTTTTAACAACTAAACCTTATATGCAAATTTGGTTTGGTGGAGTCTATTAAGCAATAAAATTGTATTTATAAAATATTTATAAAGTCCCTTAACCCGGTAATGTGTTTAATCTTTTGAGGTTTTAGAGACATGTCCTTTGACTTACGACCCGCAGCTTGGTGAAAAAGTTATGATGGTTCAAAAATCAACGGGCGAAGATCTTGTCGTGATTGCTAGAATGGTAGAAGGTAAAAAAGTCGTCTAGAAGTTGTTAATTTATTTCTTTTTAACTGAATCTATAAATGACTTTTAACTTTCAGGCTGCAATGGGAATGGTAGAGTGATTTTTAAAACCTACAATTCGAAAACAAAACATATGAAGATAATAGAAATTCAAGAAGATGAAATTCAATCCTTTTCCAATGATCATGTATCCGTTGATCTGCCAACTGGAAAAATAACGATAACATCGCACGCAGAAAATGTTCCTGAAAATATAGTTTGGGCATTTTGTGTTGGCTGTTTGTACATTTCTTCTCAGAAAAGTAGTAACTGCAACACCTCCATGTCATCCAGCCACTCCATTCTAGGCCTCAACTCGTCTTCCATGTCGAAAATAAATGCTGGAGGATCCGTAAAGTCATCATCTGGCAGGGTGTCGCTCAGTGACGGAACTGCAACCGACGAATCTTCGTCTGGAAAGAAAACACGAAAAAGAATTTCCCTCCAACAACAGAGACAGAATAGAAAACAAATTAGAAAACGAAAGATGTCGTTGAGTTTCACATTTCTGCTCGCTTGCGGATTTCGAATTGAAACATCTGTTAATAATACCGTCTTTTCAAATAATAATAATAATAATTACGGTTCGTGTTCCAGTGGCAGACATGACAGATGCAACAGTAGAAGCAATCTTGATTTAACGAAGGACATCTGCACACTGTCGTCTAATTTAAATCAGTGTTGTTTAAAAACTACTAATGAAACAAATGCTAATGATTTAGTAAGAGACAGCGCCTACAATTCAGTTTTCTCTTTGAACAACAATGTAAACGGCACAGACGTTGCAACGAGAAATGATAATTTGTCAAAAATTCCACTTCGAATATGTCAATCTTATAACCCTTCTTCAAATTATAACGGGAGACCTTCTACTTATTATGAAAGAGTAATTTTTGAAAAATTGTGATTAATAATTTTGTCTGTTTCATGTTAAACATTATTTTGAAATTTTTTAAACGTTCCAGTTTATATTTTTCAATATATTTATTTGAATTTCATATTTAATGACAAATTGATGGATGTGATATACTCCAACATGATATTTATTGCGTATATTTAAGCGAGACGTGATAGTATGTTTTTTGCAAACAGTAATCATAAAAATAACATTTATTTTTAATTTTTAGTAAGGTTTTTTTGTTTTTTAATCATTGTATTCACTTTCATACAACAAAAAGCCTGAAAAAGTTGAGTAATCATTGAAAGTGGCCGAATCTTTGTTGATCAGCACCCAGACCTTATCACCTGCTTTTAAAGGCAAAATAATTGTCTGACTGTCGCTGCCATGTCCAGCTCTTCCGTTCCCGTGCAGTGGGAGTTGGTGTTTGTCGTTTAACATGATCCAGGCGTACACGTCCAACTGAAGTTGACTCAGAATGTGGGCACTGAACAAATACGATCCGCCAACCTGTGTGAATTTTTTAAAATGCTCACCATCAGTTACAACGTTAGAGAGGCTTGAGCTAGCAAAATGAAATTTTGAGTTTATTAAAAGATGTGCTAAACAACAATGTTGAGATATCTTAAACTGATGGTAAGAACAACCGGCCACATCAACGTAATATAGTGTAACATCAATTTTTAAAAACTGACAGAATTGGACACATACAGAGGGGATTTTAAGTTGAGAACAGTAGTTATTACAAAATAAAATTTATAAACTTTTAAAATTTATATAGTTGGCATTGCCATATAAATTTTTATTCTGAAAATATTTTGGCATCTGTAACAAAACTAAATAGTTTCATACAAAGTTATAATAAAAACAATAGGACTGGTTGAAAAAGAAAATAAATCACAAACAAATATTTTTCCATAAAATAAATCTAAAACAAGAGCAATAGATTAATAAATTAAAAAACTCCAACCGGACAAATGAACTTTGACGTACTCGAATCAAACCCGTTACCTTCGTTGATGAAAACTGTATCGAATATTATGGCCGTATCGGATGCGACGGGTCCAAGTTTCAAACGACTGACTACCGAAAATGCAACTTTTGGCTTCGATTTCATTACGAGATTAGCAGGTAGATTCCCTACAAAGGCAGGGGGACCCATTGGACCAACTTCACCTTTCGCTCCACGTTCCCCTCTGTCTCCCTTGCTCCCCCTCTGGCCTTTCTGCCCCTCCGAACCTGATAAGTTGTGAGAGTTAGAAATGAATAACTTAATTGTTTTATAATTGTAAAACATAATTATATTGAACTTTGTTTCAAAATTTTTTAAACAAATCAACTTATCAACATATTGTAAAGCATTATTTAAAGAAAATTTGATGACAAATGATTGATACAAAATAATTCTGTTATTAATTAAAATTATTTAAAGACAGTTGAATTTAGAAAAAATATATAAAAATCAGTACAAGTCGAAGACAACAAACCTTTTTCTCCGGATTTTCCATTTTCACCATCCTGTCCACGAGCGCCATGAACACCTGGCACACCTGGCACGCCGGGAGCACCGGGCAGTCCAACCACGCACCCACACTGAGCAGGCCCGCCCGCATTTTTTACATCATCATCGTTGTAGGAGCTGTCATCTGTCGCTAGTGACGCTGCTTCTTTCGTTATTTGAACTCTTGACATCAAAACTGTGCACAAAATAAGAACTTTCCTATTTGTAACCAGCATGATCTGAGAACTTTTGCATTAATATTGATGAATGTCAGAGATGGCATGATCCGAAATGTATTTATATATCGGTCGGAATGGGCGTTATATATATAAATATATGTATATATATATAATTTTGGTATATATATATATATATTTTGATAATTTACATAGTGTTTCACACTCACCACACACACACACACACACACACACACACACACACACACACACACACACACACACACACACCAAAACGAACACACACACGAGAATGTGATAATTTTTTTCAAATATAATAAACTGAATAAATCTAGTTCTTTACCTTTAACGAATTTTTCAACTATTAATTATGAAACGTTTAAAATCAACCGAAACAACTGATAAAATTGTATCAGGCAGTATAACTTTTGAAATGAGATGAAAGAAGCCGGAAATGCGGTGTGGATGGAGTGCCGTAGGGCATGCATCACGCTTCAGTTGCTACGTCTCATACTTCTTTCCTTTCTTCGATTCAGTAAAGAAATAGGAGGAACATTTTTTGAAACATTGCCCATAAATTATAAAAATAGAATATTATTTTTAATGAATTAAAATTATTAAAATAATAGTCTGAAAAAGAATTAGAGCCTTGTATCCTGAATCAAATCGATTCTAATTCTAATGTATGTATTCAAAACAAGATATCCATGAAGTAATTTTATTGAACAAATTGAGCCCAGATATGTTCAGTGATATAAGTACAATATGTCATTTCTTAATTTTAGTTTATACGCATGTCGGCAAGATGGCGGTGCAGGTTTCTTACCTTATTTTTTTATGCAATGCTGTGGATATCAAAGGTTCATGACATGAGTCTCGTTGACACAGGCCCCCAAATTAAAAGAATGATAAAAAAATTACTAAAATTCAGAATTTAATCGTTGTTGAATTTATGAACACGCTCGCAACACGCTTGTCATGTTGTTTGCGTTAACGTTGAAACATTATTGACTCTATTGAATCTGAGGCAAAAGAATCGAAACAAATTTGTATAAGATTTGGGCTGCCAAATCAGCCATTATTTTTTACATTCTAAAATATTATTTAAATTTGAATCTTTAAAAATTTACTAATGTGTGCATGTGCCCACTAAAAACCGTGTACGTACGTACATTATCCTATTCAAACAATTAATTCTAATAATTGGGCGCTATAGTAAAATTTTATACCACCTGTATTTCAAACTCAGGTGTATTCTCTTAATTTTGTTTTCAATTTCAATAGCAAGTATTTACAAAATCGTAATTTTAATAGGTAAAATCATTAATTTAAAATGAATTTGTTTTGAATGATGTCAATTTTTGCCATGTACGCCTACTTTATTTTCTTAATTTGTTCATATTTTGTACAAGTTGAAAGTTATGCCTCCGGAGCTTATGGTTTGTTTTGCTTCTACACTACTTGATACTCAATAATTCTAGTTTTTTTTTTATTTTTCATATTTTTATAATAAACTATTTGGTCGTATTATTTTATATTCAATCAAAAATATGCTTGAATAGTCACATTCCTCATTTTGCCGCCACGTGGAAAGTGTTTTTTTGAAAATAATAATTCATTCACCAAGTTCAGATTATTGTGGAATGTAATGAATGAAATAAAATGTTTGACCAGGCATAATAAGTATATGATATGATCATATTGATGATTTGTTTACTGAACTATTTAGTTTATACTATAGAAAATCAAAGTTATCAAAAAACATTATGTTCATTCAGAATTTTTATGAGTCATAAAAATAGGATTAATGTCATTGGATGGGTGATGAGAACATAAGTCGTTTATATAAAATATATTTATATGTAATTTTATATTAAAAAATTTATTTAATTGTTTCCCTTAATTTAGTTTACTTATCAATATTTTAAGTGAATTGTTAAACGTGTCTCGAATGATGCAGATTGCCCCTTGCCGTGGGTTGAGTTTGGATCAAACTGTTATAGATTCGTGCAGTACCCAACTTCCATCACAAATGCCAAAAAAACATGCCAGGTTGATTGCTCATTCTATTAACATTATTCTTTTAGAGTTTTTTTACTTTTTTTTTATAACTTTTTCACATTCAATAATTAATAGCATAGTGGGTCATGATGATAGGTCAGTAATAAAACAATAATGTTGAAAATGCAGTGACCTTTTGGGTCTATGTCTGGTCATATATACATTACTCATTAAAGAAAGAGATTGTAAGCCCAAGTAGGTTTTATAAAACAAAACTTGCAAATAAATTTCAGAGCTGTATTAGGGCAGACTTGTTTATTTATTTTTAATAAACTAAAGATGAAAGTAAAATGTGACATTTCTGCCAGATCGACTCATCAACAATGTTGAAAATTCAATCAGTGGAAGAGCACCAGTTCATAAATGACTGGCTCAATAGTAACACCAAGATGTTGTTAGTACTGCTCAGTGTAATTCAAATAGTTTTGTTTAAGTTTCTTTTTATTTATCAGCATTTTAGTTATTGACTTATACAATTAATTCTCAACTCTTCATTACAAGATTAACTGTTTGTTTCTTTAAAACATTTGTCTGGATTTTATTGAACTTTCCCGTCCTGTATATTTTGTTCATTCATTCAAATTTTGCATTCATGCTGCATTGCTTCAGTGTAGTTTATTAACATTCACATTATTTGCTAAATTAATTCGCATATATTGGTTAAATAATTCATGAACATTATTTTAAATACACTGCTAAATAGAAGTTAAATTGAACTTTAAATAAGAATAAAATTAAGAGCAAGATGAATGTTGCCCCTGTCCGACCAACACACACACACACAGACACACATACACACACACACAAACACACACTACACACACGCATATACAGCATGGAGTGGTTTACAGATGGAGTGAAGGATGACAGGGTTGTCGCCAACAGCAAGACATTGAAGTACATGTGGGAAAGTGATGGCACAGAAGTGACAGGGCAGCAGTTCTGGCTTGATCAAAATGTTAGAAATTGGCCAGGAAATCGAATAGCTTACATTAGCTCAGGTTTTTAGGTTTATCACAATTTGAAAGTTAACTTGTTATTTTTGTTCAAAAGTTTTAAATAAAGATTCAAATCTTTTTTAAGATATATTATGACATTTATTGTTATCAACTATTAATAATTCATTGTAAAAATGTTCAGGGAACCAATGGAGCTGGGTGCTGATAAATGATACAGGCATTGAGAGGCCATTCATGTGTCAGATCAGCAAGGAGTATGTCTTCAAAATTACTCATGTTCTCAGAGGATTTGGTTGGTGCAACTAAACACAGTTTTTTTTCATCATTTTTAGAATAAAATAATAATTTTTGTTAACACTTCTAATCCGTTATTAATATCAGTTAAGTGTTTAATATGAAATTAAAAATTTTATTGTAAAAACTGATGGCAATTATGATTAGGTTACTGACATTAGCACGTTAACCATTGCAACAAACAGATTATGGTCTTGATGAAAATGACCCTGAGCAAGTTCCCAGAGGTCCGAAGTTTACAGTGTTGCCCACCGACAGCATTTTCGATGCACGAAGTCAGAATAGGTTGGCCTAATCAAGTCATTCGATTAATCAATATTTTCAGTCGTTCAGTTTGTGTAATATCGTGTTAAACCTGTTTAAAATCTGTTTTATTTTGTCATTCAACTATACGAGTGTGATATAGAATCTTATTCAAATAGTGCGACTTCATTAAATGTTTATTTATTATCTCAGATACGTGAGGATGAACTGCGACGCAGATGGCAACCCACGACCAACCTACAGTTGGGTGGTGACCAGACAGCTGGAAACAAAACCAATCAACACGTCCGACCCGTCCATCACTTTGACGAACGGCATCCTGACCATCAACGAGCCAACAGACAGTCTTCATAACGGTGTTTATTACTGCATTGCTTCTAATTCTTTTGGAAGCATCAGAACGCACGGTGTTCAACTGAGTTTTGGCTGTTAGTTGCTACTTTACGTATTTTTTTCAATATTTGCAATTCAATTTTATTATTTTTCTGTTTTAAATCAAAAATAAAGAAATTATATGTAAAGTTATTCAGTTGAAAATAACGCATCAACGAAAACTGATCTAAATTTCAGATTTGAATGATTTCCCAAAATCGAAAAGGGAGCCGATTATTACAGGAACTCACGTGGGAGCCCGAATTGAATGCATTCCACCAAAAACTAATTACGACAGTAATTATATTTTTTGTTTTATTTTTTGCATCATTTCAAAATTACATTTCATTGATGTCGTTCAATATGAATCATGTAGATCTGGTGTACAGTTGGTACAAGAACACACCGACAAATTGGATCAGACAGGACATCAAATGGCACACCTTCGTGTCTGCTGACAGCGTATTGTACTTCCAGTATGTCAGCAAGGATGATGAAGGCAACTACACGTGCTTTGTGACCACCACTCAGCTCGGCATGGAAGGCAAATCCAGCATGCCCATCCAGTTAAAAGTCACAGAATCAGGTTTCTTTAGTGTTTTTGTCCATCGATAACTCTTACTTACCTTGTATACACTTTAATTTGGGTAATTAACTCGAATGATATTCTGAACAGCTGCTAGTACACAAGATCCCATCATTGTTAACGGCTTCCCAAAAGCTTTTCCAAAGAGTCCATTGGTTGGCAATGAAGTGAAGCTAGAATGTATAGCCTATGCAACGTAAGCAATCATCATTTGCTGCACGTACAACTACTGTTTACAATTTTAACAACGTTTTCTGCAGAGATTTTAATAGACTGACGTACACTTGGTCTCGACCAGATGGCCAGTTCATGCCTTCTGGATATAGATTTCAGAATGATGATCAGAGAGTACTTGTCCTGTCGAATATTAAACTTTATGACTCAGGCATCTATCGCTGCACAGCTTCAAGTCAAACTGGAAGAGCCGACACCAAAGATGTCAATTTGGTGGTGGAATGTAAGTACTTCTTGTTGAATTTTTTCTATGTATTTATATGCGTCTCCATTATACACATTTACGTGTACATCTTGCTCCTCACTTACTTGGTTGCATTTGAATTTATGTTAGACTGGTCTGTTAGTTCAAACCACGGGACATATACAACACATGCATTTGTAGATACGCAAAAGCACCGCTTTCTATGCGCAAGATATTCGATGGTATTGAAGTTTAGGGCAAATTGAGTTCGAAGCAATCACAGCGCATTAAACTAAACAAGACATTATGCGTCTAAACTAACTCACCATCCAATAATCATTTTGCGCATCAATGTTAGATCTCTTACTAAAGGTTTTTCGTTTTTATAAATGCGTGCAGTGTTAATTGAAGTATTAAACTTATTCCATGTAGTTTCTTCATTGTTTATTTAAATAAAATTTGTATATTAGATTTCTTTTACATATAAATTAATTTCAATTAGAAACATTTCCAAATAAATTATTACGATGTTACATCTTAACAGCGGCACCGTATTTCACCATTCCTCTTGAAGATCAGCACAAAGATCTCGGTTCAACTGTTGAATGGTTCTGCATGTCGTACGGCATTCCTTCTGTCACCAATGAATGGTTTATCAATGGAACGCTGTTGGAATATGTCAAAATGCCGCCAGATTTGAAGAACAGGTACTCCGTAAGTGGCAACAAGCTGATGATCAGCAACATCACCTATCGTCACGCTGGCATGTATCAGTGCTCGGCCACGAACTCGCATGGCACCAGCTTTTCGTCTGCACAACTAAGAATTTTAGGCAAGTTTTAATTAATTAGATTTTTGCTTTGTGTTAGACGTGCCAAACAAATTTTAAATGCTTGAACTTTTTTGTTGATTGTTCCTTCACGGAACATATCCCGAATTAAAAAATTAGTTATTTTTATAACAAAGTTTAAGTATGTAAGTTTGATCATTTCATTCCAGCCTTTGCGCCATCATTCAAAAAGAATCCTGTGCAGCCGAACGTGTTTGGCCTGCTGGATGGTAATGTCACTATGCTCTGTTCCCCCGAGGCATCGCCGCCGGCTAATAAAGTTTTAAATTTTCTTTTTCATTTTTTGTCTTCGCAAATATTATTTAAACTGAAAACACCGAAAAATTCTTTGATAAAGGAATGGTTCAAAGATGGCATGGCATTGAATCCGGGAACCGATCCAACGTCGCGTATTAGAATGTTACCCAACGGAAACCTATTCATCAGGCAGATTTCTTCAGAAGACAAGGGAAATTATTCTTGCACTGCGCAAAATTCCTATGGGACGGCTTCAAGCTCTGGTCGATTGTTGGTTCTACGTGAGTTGTACGATTTGTTCTAACTTGATTATTTATTGTATACATTTAGCAATGAATGTGCTCACGTTCATCGAAAAACTGTAGCTAGAAATAAGATGTGATAAAATTTTATACATGAACACACACACACTGATAAGTGTATGTGTTGTATGTTTTTTGGGTTTAGACTATCATAAATACAAATATTTATAAAGATCACTGCGTTTTTGGCATTATTCAACTTGTAGTTGAGTTTCTCAATTTTTCTAACGAGACTTTTATCATCTTGATGAAGATTTAGATTTTTTCGAACCTAATTTAGATTTAGAATCTAAATTAGATTTAGATTTGGAACCAATTGACAGATAATGCTAAACATCAAGTTGAAACTCAATTACAAGTTGAATAATGCCGAAAACACAGTGATCTTTATAAATAATTGTATATATATATATATATATGTGTGTGTGTGTGTGTGTGTGTGTGTGTGTGTGTGTGTGTGTGTGTGTGTGTGTGTTTGAATCCTTTTAATGTGATTGCTTTGTAAATTATTTGATGTTTTCTTTGCGCGTTGTTATGTTTCACATCTTCGAATTAATGTTTTGTTACTATATAATAAAAACCTCATATTTGCAGCCCAGTTCACCATCCACCAGCCGCCGAGAGATACAGTTGTGCTTGTGAACCAAACAGCATTCTTCCATTGTGAAGCAGCATACAACCCCGCAATTGACATCACGTACGACTGGTACCACAACAGCTATAAAATAATGTTCATTAAAGTCCGTAATCTTGGAAACACTGTCCATGTGTTTAAAGAGCCATATTATGAAAGAGTTCGTTAATTATATTTTCAACATTTAATTTTTTTTATTATAAGGGAATCTATTATTTATTTCTCCTACGATGACTTTTTTCATTACAAATGAATCTACCCTAATAAAATAATTTTTGCGGTTTCCTGGGTGTGTTCTCGTTTGGCATTTAAATACTTTTGTTTCGCATCGAAGGTGATAGACTGTTGGGATGGACTTCTTCGTGTTGAATTTTTTATGGCTTATATAATTGATCCTATAGAATTTAAATTTGAAAATTTGATTTTTTTTAGTAATTAATAGATTTAAAAACTTTAAGTTTATTTAGTATTAATTTCGTTTAATTTTTTAATTATAAAACGTTTTTAATTTAGTATTTGTCAATAAATACATTGCTGATAAATGCACAGGGAACTGGGATTTACAGGGGCAGTCTTTACATTTACAATGTTCAGTTCTTCCACGCTGGTGACTACTGGTGCGTTGTGAAGTCAACTACTCAATCAGTCAGAGCCAAAGGTCTTCTAGTAGTTGAAGGTCAGTTATTCAGTTATGATTTCATGGAAAATTTGCACTTTTATTATTTACATTATTTACTTATACAACACAGGCCCACCTGGTGAACCAGCGGGAGTCCTGGGGTCAAATGTTGGCCCCACCAACCTGACGTTAACATGGTGGCCCGGTCCTGACAATGGACAGAAAACAACGATGTTCGTCGTCGAGGCTCTCAATACTGCTGAAGGCTTCTGGAGGCGAGTCAAAATTGGTCAGTTGTGTGTCAGGCCATGCTGTCGTATGTTCTCGATGATTATTCCGATTTAAAATAAAGCTATAAATTTTATAAAAATAGTTTTACTATGTCAGATTTTAACTTTAACTTTACTTAGTAAAATTTTACGCTTTTTATTATACTTATGGTAAACAATGAATTTTCCGTTTTTCATTCTTATTTTTGTTTTTTTTAACCAAATATTTAATAAAAAGTATCTAATTGAAAAAAATGAAAAAATAGGTATAAACGAAACTGAGCTGAAACGCTGTAAAATTGAATTAAAAAACAAAAAATCATTTTTACATTTTTAGTTATCTTAGTATTTAAAATTTTCACTCTTTTACAGCTGATTCATCATGTATTGATATCAACATTATTTGTTGTATTGTTGTATTTGCAGATGTTTAAGGTCATTTATAGAAACCAAACTTTACTCAAAATCCCCAACATAAAAATTATTAGTTAGCATTGATAACAAAGCTACAATGGACAAATTTTAGCTTTGTTAAACGCGCAGTTTTTGCTGCAAATCAGCAAAAAAACACTCTGAAGCATCATAAATAACTAATTTATGATTTGATACCCAAAAACCTTTCAGTTTTATAATAGGTATTTAAAAATAAAATATCTTTTCATATCAGATAAGGCAATTTATAAATTGCATCAATGAAAACTTTTACAAAAATTAGAATATAACAAAATGCTTTTAAAGTTTATTGAATAAATTTAAAAAAAATATGAATTTTTTCAGTTATCAGTTAAATATTGGCTGAATATTTCCAAACTTGCTTACATTATGATTATTATGTTGCAATTAACGTCAACGTTTCTCGAAATTATTAGAATCTCGAGATACATTTGTTCAGAACGTGATGGTCTCTACCATTGTAGATGGCTTGAACCCATACACGGAATACAAGTTTCGCGTGTTTGGCGTGAATATTTACGGAGAAGGAGTACCAAGCAAAAATTCTCGTGAGTTTTTTTTTTATAACGCAGTTATATGTTCTTGATTTTTATTAATAAAGCTTTTATTACTGGATTGCTTATTAAATCAAATCAACTATTTACTAACATTTTTTAACTAGAATTTAAAAATATATGCCATGGAGTATTGACCTTAGACTGTGTTAATTTACTAATTAATAACGTAACATAACAAATCACAATTGATGAAAGACTAAGTTTTAAGCCAATCCTGTTAGAATTCATCTTTTGCCTATTGCAGCTGCTCACGTTTTTCGAAAAACTATGATCAACTTTGTGACCCTTCATTGAACCTTTTAGAGAATTGTTTAGTCTTTTTAGAGATCGGGACGCCAAAACAGTATGCAGTGGTCTAAATGTCTTACTATGGATTCGTACAGTCTTGTTATTACAGTTTGTTTTTTCTCGGAATCGTTTTCTCAATGCTCCCTAGCATTCGGTCGGCTTTTTAGCAATTTCTTGACGCTGTTTTGATTGTTTACAATCTTAGGTAGTGAAAAAATCTAGGTCACATTCTTCCGTAGTTGATCTAATTACATTCTCAATTGCCGTTTGCAAGTCATATAATTAGTGTTTAAACAAGATTATTGGTGCAGTATGAACAAATGGGGGTATGGTCAGTTTGTTTTAAGATTTTAATATTCTAAGGAAACGTTTTAGGCATCTATATAAAATAATATAAAATATTTGTTATAGATCACAATTAAACTGCACGGCACTTTCATGTTTAAAATTGTAAAACTAATGTTTTGAAAAAATTATTTGAAATTCAAAATAATATACGTAGCCCTATATAGGACTTCTCAAGCCCCTCCAGTTATTTATCCGCTTGGTTTGAAAGGTGGCGGTGGAAAGGTTGGAACGTTGAATATAACGTGGGAACAAGTGCCTCTGTCAAGTTGGAATGCTGAGAAGGGAAAAGTTGGATACATTGTTCACTGGAAACGTTATGATATGAATGATGACCAGTGGGCTAAGGTATGTTTTTTAAAACAATTATTATTTTATCTTATTATTTTATCTATGATTTTCTTTTAATTGTTTGACCATTTTATTGACGCAGACGAACATCACCGATCCAATGATCACAAAGCTCGTTGTTTTGATTGGTCCGCAAAACTTTTACATGTTGTACAACCTGAGAATTCAATTTTTCAACCCCATGGGTGTTGGTCCCATGTCTCCACAAGTCAATGCCATGTCCGCTGAAGATTGTAAGCATATGTTCTTTCAATCTTACATGTTTGTTATATGTATGCTATTTTCCAATGTATTATAATTATATTTGTATCGTTTGTGTTCAAGTTAGATTGCTGCAAATGTTAGGTGTACAGCAAAAAAAAGTACACCTAAATATTAAAAATGTGTCTTTTAAATATTAAAATACACTCTTAGTGCCAACCGGTGTACCGATCAGCGTGAGAGCAGTGTATGCAAACGCTACTGCCATCACTGTTGAGTGGCTGCCCGTTGCAAACACCAGGGAGGTTATGCGGGGAGTTTTGCTTGGATACAGGGTTCCTAATTACTTTTTATCAATTTTTCGTATTTGCTAATATAATGATTATTAAGCTATTGTTAATGTTATGGTTTCTGTTACTTTATTTTTAATTTGTTGCTAAACGTCCTATATGGAGATCGCCATGCAACAGCATTCTTTTTACATGTTTCTCACAATCTTTTAAACTTTCAATCGCAAATTATCTGATTTGTGACCATTAATGTGAGGCCATTAATCATTTTTGTATTATGATACACTGTATTATTTCTATATAAAGTGAAATATTGAATAATTCCACGTTGAATGGACCACTTAGATAAATTATTGGGTGGACAAGGAAGAGGACGAGCAGATGGGACTGTTCAGGATCATTCGGAACAACACGGACAACGGACTGATCATCGCACTGCGGGAGAACACGGACTACATGATCAACGTGCAGGCTGTCAACACGGCTGGCAACGGTCCAAAAAGTGAAAACTACAGGACGAAAACGTTAAGAGCAGGTAACGAATCATAAAACGTTTCGCCAGTTTTGTTTTGTTGCGTAATATTTATAATTTTTTGGAATTGCCATCACTTTCAATTACAAAATTATTTTTATTTATGTTTTTTATAAAATAATGAGCGATAACAGCCCAGAGACATTTCAACTTGAATTTATTCATTTTTCTCGACAATTCTCTTAAAATGGCTATCACCTTTTTTTTTTGAGGAAAAATTATATATTGTAAACGTCTTGGATAAATGTTGGCGAAAAGTCACTTTGTAAATTTACCATTTTCTTGTAGACAAAGGGATTGGTGTAGCATAATTTGTGCAATTGTTTGCTGAATTTATAAAAAACCAAGTTTTAATAAAAAAATTTTAAATTCTAAAATCAGAGCAATGTAATAACCGGAACTAAAACTATTAAATAGTTAAACTATTAAATAATAAGTGGTTCTGTTAAATAAGGTTGCATCTTTTTATAGTAATACTCATTCGAAAACCCAACAGCTCCGAAAGAAGCGCCCCAGCAAGTAACAGTTTCAATGATAGACGAGCAGTCGGTGCAGCTGCACTGGAGAGGTGTCTACACGACCATTGAAGAGGAACCACTGGAAGGATACATCGTTAGTGCTTCATTCGACTACCAACTTCAGAGAATCGTCATTTGTTTCAAGCTTCGTTTCGATGCTTCTTTTTTTATGATTTCTATTTTGAAGGAGATATAAATGTGTTTTTAATTCGCTCATTTTAAGGTGCGGTATTGGAGGCGTGGTGAGAATATTTACGTGGCGAAAAATGTTGATGCTGGCAAACAAATCAGGTACCTGGTTGTTAATTTCTAGGCTGACCTTTATAATTAATTTTAAAGAAATCCTACTAATTTGTCTGAATTTTTCAATTTTTTGATCAAGTTGCTTATTTTTTATTGTCCTGTGAATGAATGTTTGTTTATGGAGTTTGAGATAGAATGAACTAACTGATTATTGCATGTAAAACGATCATGAAGATATATCCTCAGCGGGTTGGAGCAGTACGTGCAGTATGAGTTGAGAGTCTACGGCTACAGTAGAGGAGGGGATGGTCTGCAGAGTTCCCCGACGCTCGAGTTCATCATCGGTGGGACACCCTTCATCATTTTCTTCTCTATTTTGAATATTCTAAAAGTTTATTATACAAATTATAATTATATGAAAGTTATTTAACAAATAATTAACAAATTGTATGAAAGTTTATTAATACAAATTATTGAATAGTTAATTCAACTAATTTAACTATTTTGTTTAACAGGAGACAAAGCACAAATCTTACAAGGTTGACTATTTTATTATTCATTATCTCTTTATAATAGAATTCTGAAAACTATTTCATGCGCCTTAATTTCAACTAATATTATGTTGAATTGTTTATAAAAATCATTGTGTTAATTATTTTCCAATAACGCTGTTGTATTTCAGATTCGCCGGACAAGCAGTATATTGTTTCTGGTCTCGGATACATACCGTTCATACCTTCGGAATGTTCTCTTCTCCTACCCAAATTGTTTCACAACTTGTTCATTATCGCGGTGACCTTTCTGTTGAGATTAATGTTAATTTCGTAGAAGGGATTATTTATCACCCATTCTAGATTATTGTCTTCTAATTTTTCACCATAATTAGCACAATTTTAAGGGTCTTTGAAATTGTAGCTCGCCGGCTGTACATAAACTTCTTTTATACCAGATTTTATTTTGTCTAATACATATTTACAAATAAACAGTTTGAATGTTTGCGCTATGCTAGCAGAGTCTTTAAAATGTTCAAATCTTAAATTAATCTAAAATTAATTCAACGTTTTGTTTAATTGTATTTTTAAACGTTATTGAGATGTTAATAAAGTTAATGTTTGGCGCGTGAATTCATCCTGTGTCTAGGGGCCTGTGAACTCTGAAGTTTCTCGAATATTAAAGAGACAGCGCTGTGTAGACTGTCTTACCAGATGAACGACATACTTCTACACACTCACACACCTTCACGCACGCACGCACACACACTCACACACCTTCACGCACGCACATATATATAGTTGTATATAGATAAATATATGTAAAAACATAATAAACATGCTGACTGTCAACTAAAAAAAATCGCATGTGTGACGAGTAATGAGATAAAAATTTTGTTTTGGAACCGCACAAAAATTTATTTATTCAACCGTTTAAAATTATCATTTTTTAAATTTTTTATTTAAATTGATGTTGAGCGAGTGAGTGAATGTGTGAGTGAGTGAGTGAGTGAGTGAGTTAGAGTGAGTGACTCGGTTTCTTGGAATAATGAACTTTGCACTCCTTTTCAAAAGAAAACAAGCACACTACGCACACACACAAAAACAGACACATACATACACACACACACATACATACACCACACACGCATATAATTTAACACGGCAACACAACATTCAACAAATTAATGTAATGCGCTGATGTTGTGAAATATATATAAATAAATAAATAAATGCAGATTTCATTGAATATTTTTGCCCACTTAGCATTAATCAACTTTTAAAAAAAAAATAAATAAATATATATATATATATATATGTGTGTGTGTGTGTGTTGTGTGTTTGTGTGTGTGTTTGTATGTTTTTATGTTCAACATATCATCCAAGTAAACAAGTCTCAACAAAAACTGAACCGTTCTGAAAGAAACGCAGTTAATTAAAATTAAAAGCATGATTATCATCTTATTTACAACTATCAGTTGTGTCATTTAAATATTTTAGAAACATTTATTTCTTCTTTAAGAATCAATCATTCATGGTTATAAAAAAGATTTGCATGCGTTTAAACAACTACGATCCTGATGAAGATGATGACGTTGATGAAGGTGATAATGATGGTGACGATGACGATGTTGATGAAATTTAAGATGATGATATTAACGATGTTGATGATGTTGATACTGATGTTGTGATTTGCGATGGAGTTTTTAGTGTTTATGATGATATTATTTTCATTGATGATGATGTACAGTTGACTAGTTCGGTGTTGATTAAAATGAAGATCAATCAGTCAATCAATCAGTCAATCAATCAATCAGTCAATCAATTAGTTGGTCAGAAGATGTTTTTGGTTTTTGAACGCAGTGATGTTGTTAACAAGGATTATGATGACGTTGGGTTAGGGTTAGGATAACACACATAGATTGTTGGGTTTTTCTTGGCATTCAAACCAGCCCAGTTTGAAGCAGTGAATGTTCAGGCGCTTTGGGCAAAATGTACTTGTTAAACAACAAAAATGATCTTGCATTTCTCGTAATTCAGACGACCAAAATAAAAACACATACGTGCACACACACACACACACACACACACATACACACACAGAGCACACATACACACACACACACGGAGCACACACACACTTGTGTTCGTATGAATTAATAAGGCACCACATGACCGTTAGTAACAGAGAGACATCTTGATATTTTAATTACATTAAACGCCTTTGGAGTAACACATTCGTAGTTTATTATCGCAAATATTTACTGCTTCTTTCTACTCACATCTCCATCAATACATTTCACTTGATTGCTTCTTCGGTTCTGTCACTGAATTTTTTAAGATTTTTTTTTCAAATTTTCCGTTTCAACAGATCGCATTAAATGTTGGAAGTGTTGTTCGGCTAAACATGCATTCAGTTGTGACTTTGTTTGTAAGCTTGTAGCAATTATAGCGACAAATAACAAGTAACTAATGACAAGTAACAATTTCATTTTCGCCTGGCATGCTTTTTTAATGCATCGGCATCTACAACATATATGAATGAAATATACAAATATAATGTGGATAACATACATATATATTATATATATATATATTTTGATATATATATATATATATATATATATATACATATATAAGAGTGTTCGTTCGTTATGATTTCTCTAAACAAACGAATGTGCGGGCTTGTTAAAGTTGATGTCGGCTCGTTCCTATATAAACTCATCAACAGATGTCGTTCAAGCCTGTTTAATGATAATTAGGAAGTTTTGCATGTCACATGCTTTTTTGCTCGTTCGTTACGTTATGCAGTGTTTGGATGTTTATTATTCGTTCGTACGTTTGTTCGTTCTCACATCCATACGTAATGGTTCGTGTTTGCAGCTAGTATGTTAACTTGTTTGTTTATAATATATTTATATCTGTAATTACGTTTTACTTAGTGTACGAGTGTGTTAATATATAGACGATAATTATGTTAAACAGAAACAAGGATGCACAGTACATATGACAGAGTAGAAATACATTGTTGCACATTCAAACGCAGAAGTTCTCAAAGTTCATTATTAACAATTATTTCGTCGTGAATTTCGTGAGATTTCATTTTTTTGTATATCTTATATTTTTAATTAATTTTTTCAATAAATAGACAAATGATTGTATGAACAAAAAGAATTTATTTCGTTTGTTTAAGAGGTTTTGGTGTGTCATAAAACCCACATTGATCATGCGTTCGTTAAATGTTGACTCTACGTTTGGTCTATTTTGTTAGAAACTAACTAAAAACTATATCACATTATTAAATACTGAAAATGATTCCTGCGAAATGATGGCTACAGATAGCAATTATGGAGCAATTATATAATTGTTTGATAGATACATAAATTCATACAACTCTACTATCTGCACTGGATTGTACGGTAGCTACTGAATCTATGTATATGAACGTCCATTCAACATTAAATTAAAATTGTTGTTATTATATTTAGCATTAATTAGAATGATATTTATACAAGCTTAATCGTTAATTTTATATATTTATGTAAAGATTTTTGTATTTAACATTAACTGCAACAAATACGGAGTTATATGTACATGTAATAAAACTTAAAACAAGACATTATCAATAGTGATAATGATGTTAATATTTATAAAAATGATGATGATGATGATAATCGTGATGAGATGTGCAATAATTGAATAGCCTGGAACGTCACTTTCAAACTCATGAGGTAATTGATGGAATAAAGGTGTGTGCGAATGCTTTAATGGGCTGTCTCTGGATTAACATCAATCATATCGCATCACACTTAACATCACTTCCCATCATATTACATCACATCACATTATATAGCATCTCACCACTTCATTAAATATCACATCATGTTGTATGTTATATCATATGTCATCATTCTATGACAACATGACACGTACAGTATCATATACAAAACGTGCAATGACATTACAACTCGTCATCACATCAAAACACACCGCGTTATATTGCTTCATTTTTTATTAGTTTATTTCGTATGTTTTTTTGCATTATATATTGCACGATTGCATTATTAATGTGAGCAATCTGTTAGGACAGCTTTTTTTTCACTAACAAAATCGTTTTTTTTCCATTATAACATTAATATTTCATATTCATTTTTTTTTTAATTTGCAGGTTTTCAATCAAATGTTGAATTAGAAGAAAAATAAAAACAAATAAAAACAAAATGTTCCTAGCCTGCGATGACTCGATGAACTCAATGAAAACGTCGTACGCAGAATCGATCGGCCAAGATGTTTTCATCAACGACATGAGCTACTGTCGTGAAGAGGACAACAACAATTCTGCAATAATGTCACCAGCTATAACATCGCACACAGTTACAACAACAAACAGCTCCACCGCGACACTCTTCAACAGACAAGCAGACCACATGACTGGTACTCTGATGACCACAGACTGGTACTTCGATGACCATAAAATTGAAGATGAATACGACGATCTGCTGAGCAGCACCGCAAAATTTGAAGTTGATCTGCAGTACGGATTGAACAGCGAGAAGCAGGACGATTGGGATGACATCATTGAGGAAAGTTTGAACAACAAAAACCAAGTTTGTAGCAAGAATAACAACTGTGACGACAACGTTGCTGTAAAACTCAACAAACATGACAGCGTTGAAACTGACGGCTACAACTTAATTTTGTACCACATAAACGACAACAATGCTATTGATCGGCTTAATCACATTGGTGACAACAACAATACCATATGCAACATCAATGGCAGCAACAATGTTTTCACCGACAACGACAAAATCGTGCGAAACAACAACAACGTCTATTTAAACAGTGAACAGTGCATTAATATCAACGACATGGACATCACTAATTTATGTACAAGTAACATTTTATCGGAACTCAATCTTTTCGAGACTGAGCTAAACTTTGCAGATGATACAAATTGCAACACCAAGGTCTGCAGCAGCACAAACAACAGCAAAAAAACATTACTGCATGCAAACCAACACCTCGAAGTCTTCACAGCCAGTCCAGCAACAACGTTGAGTGTTGGAAGCATCGGCGAAAGTAGCAGTGGGTACGCCAGTTGTGACCAGTCTCCACTAGCCAACGAATTCAGTGAAAGCTTCGATGAAGTTTTTGGTTGGTCTGCCGTAAAAGAGCATCAGACTGCACTGTTTGAGACAGAATCGTTAAATAGCAAGACAACATCTACTGATTCATTTCAGGAGATAGCTTCTAGCCACAATCCAATTCATATTGAATTTGATAGAAACGCTCACAATGAATCTAACATTATTGATCAGAGCAGCAGCGATAACAACTTTGAAAACTATTTTCCAAACGAATATTTCAACACCTTTTTTCAACTTTTTGATAACGATTTCAACTTTTTAGAATACGATCCACTCATTAGCAATCAATCGGTCCAATCAACAAATGATGATTTTTTTACCTTTTCAAAAGGTAATTCCTCCGTGAACATTGACAACTGGTCCATAGACAATGTCAACTATTCAGCATCACCCGTTGAAAATCAAACAAATATATTGCATAACAGAAGCAAAGGGATGAATCAAATAACAAGTCAACAGAATGATTTGTTAGAAACGTCCACAATCACAGAGTACTCACAGGCTTCAAACAAACTTCAACATAAGGCAAAATTAAAACATAAATACAAAGAAAACAATCAAAAATCAGAGACCAAATTACTCCTACTACAACCAAATTATCGAACTACCATTTTGAAAAGACCAACATTCAACTTGGAATCTAATCGATGTCCCGACATGAATGCTTCATTCCAGGCAGCAACATTTCCTCAAGCACCTTCTAACCTGATTGACCAGGAAATTAATTTATCGCATATCAACAGTTTTAAAATGAACAGCTCCAATTCTTCTGATAGAGAATATGAATTTGATAATGAACCTCAAAAATATGATCCATTAACAGAAGCTTTGCTCCAATCAGACATCATATGCTCAAAAAATCTTGCACAAAAAAATAAAATGAACAACGCTACAAAAGTAGAAACTCCTTCATTAAGCTGCTCTTCCATCAGAGAACGCCTGACAGCGCCTCCGTTGGCGAGGTTGAAAAATAGTCCAATGTTCAGCTACTCGCACCAAGCAGTTTCAGAATCCAAATCTAAAGACCTGATGGATAAGAAAAATTTTAAAATACGAAACAAATTGTATAACAGTGAAGATTGGCACCCCCGAGAATTTAGTGAAGATCAATCAGCTGAGCAGCATCAAAGTCATACAGATAAAAATAAAAACTATATTGAAAAGTTGAAATTTGATGAATCTGAAAAAATGTTCAACATTCAACAAACTTTTCATAATTATACACTATCTCCGCGTTCCTTCGAGAATAGTAACGTAAACAAAGTTGCGCATGTACCGTGCCAGGCATTAACCTGGCCTCAGGATCATTTCAACGAAAGCAGCTTCCTGACAGATTTTCAACAATTCCCAACGGATTTAAACTCTAACACAAACCAACAGACACCAATAAACATGTTTCCAGACGACCGATTATTTTTTTGCACCTATCCGAGCTGCAACAAAGCCTACAGCAAGAGCTCCCACTTGAAGTCGCATATGCGGCGCCACACGGGCGAAAAGCCGTTCGCGTGCAGCTGGACGGGCTGTGGCTGGCGATTTTCCAGGTCGGACGAACTCGCCCGCCACAACAGGTCACATTCCGGGGTCAAACCCTATCCGTGCAAAATCTGTGACAAGCGGTTTGCCCGGTCGGATCATTTGGCCAAACATTTGAAAGTGCATCGAAAGAGGAATGAAAAGTGAGCGCATGTGCCTGGACCTTCGCTGGGATTGTTTTTGTGTGACTTTTTGTCCGTGTGAATTTGTGTGTAAAGTTTATATTTAAATATTTGCTTGTTTCAGGGCATCTAAAATATTTTTTCTAAACAAATGCATGTTCAGTTTTGTTTTAAATGTTTATTTTAATTTTTTTATATTTATTGTGGTTTTTATTTGAACAAGATTGAATGAATATATATATATATATATATATATATATATATATATATATATATATATATATATCTGTGTATATGTCTTTTTGTGTATGTGTAGGTAGAAATACTGGAAATAATTTGCTAAGTAATTTAGAGTAACTGACTTTTTACACAATAATTTATTACCATTGTTTTAACTGCAATGAAAATACATCCTGAATGATTTGTACATAGTGTATCAATTCATTTATCCATGCATTCTAGGATTATTTCTGAGTTAATAAATATATGCATACGAATGTATTACCTTCCCTGACGTATTTTTTGCAACAAGATGTAAACAATTTTACTTACGCTACACAGTGCAAAAATTTCTTTTTACTTGTTTAAATTACAACGATAAGTTGTTTAATTTGTTGAGCAAAACTTTTCATTGAAGAAATCGTTCAAAGATCGATATTGTGATGATCTGTTACAAATCGCGGCTAGCAACACTTTTATTTATTCTGTTGTCCGTCACTGGTAAATCACATGCACTGTCGCTAACAGTTATGTAAACATCGACTATAAACTAAAACTATCTTTCTCTATAATTTATCTTTCTCTTTGTACACTTCGTTTACATGTGCTTGTCTAGTGCTCAATTTATTAACAAATAAAATTAAGGACCCATGAAAAATAATTATTAAAACGGTTACTAACTTATTACTTTTTTTTCTAAAATGAGATATTAAAAAATTTCGCGTCATGAATTTGAAATAATTGAAATTATATATTCACAATTTACTCGTCTAAATTGAAATCCATCTAGAATGAATTCCTATAAATTATTAGTTGTGCATTAAATAGTCTCCCAACTAGGTACACAAATTGAAAGAAATGATGAATAGTCTGTTGAAAGGAGCGTTCATTTCGTGATGATGTGCAGATGGCTTCAGTAGCGAGGTTCAAAAGTAGAAGTTGGTGTCACATTTGGGAAGATGCAAAAACAGATCACAGCAGGCAGGCATTCAGTGGTGGTGTGACTGACTGCACGCTAATTTATAATGCAATACTATACTAAAATGTACTGCTTCACAAAATTTAGAATTGCATGAACAGCTTATGTCATGGTTGCTATGTTTATGTTTTAGGACATTCTCTTGAAACATTGGCCAATAGATCATCCAATGGTATTAAAGTTTTCAATTTTTAAATATTTAGCTACTAACAAACAAGTTTGTAATTCATCTGCGTTCGAACGGTCATTTGGTTTTTTGCAGATAAATTGAAACAACTTGAATATGATAAGTGTATTTATTTATTTATTCATTAGTCCATTTATCAACTTTAGTTATTTTTTAACTGATGAAATATGTTTACATTGAATTTGTTATGAACATCTTTGTGAAAATAAAAAATTATTCAAAGTTGTTGAATTTCCTAACATGTTAACAATTCCTGATAAATCATTTAAAATAATTTCTTAGCATAAAAAAAATATTTTCATCTTGCAGAAAATGTTGTTTCATTTAAATTTTGATTAATAAATTTCCATCACGAATAAATTAATTTTAATTACACAAAAGTACAACATTGTGGCAGGTAAGTTGGTGATGGCGATGCAATTGTTTAAAAGTGCGGCACTGTTGGATTACATCGCTTAGAAATTTATTAGTCACTGTGGAAACAAAAGATCAGTTCTTTATAATCACACCTGATAAAATTAGTTAAACAAATTTAAAATATTGAAACATTGACAATGCTGGCTAGCAAACTTATTTTATCTCATAATGTTAAACGTGTGTTAAATGTGTATGAAAAATTTTAGTTGACAATGCCGCAAACGTGATCTTATGAGGAAGGAAAATGGTTTGCCAACGACTTCAGATACTATTGTGACAGGGCATGAAGTATCACTTCATTTCATAAACAATCAAAATAAATGGCCATCTCAAATGATATTCTACCACGTTTTGACAACCGTTGCAACCTAATGAAGAAAGCATGGCGTAGTGTCATGTGATATATGTTCTGTAACAACTTTATCTAATGTTCGGTGGAGGCAGTGTACAACTTAACAATATTTAATGGATTGAAATTGAAATATTTATGAAAATTAAAAAACTCACTAAAACTTCAGATACTATTGTGACAGAGCATGAAGTATCACTTCATTTCATAAACAATCAAAATAAATGGCCATCTCAAATGATATTCTACCACGTTTTGACAACCGTTGCAACCTAATGAAGAAAGCATGGCGTAGTATCATGTGATATATGTTCTGTAACAACTTTATCTAATGTTCGGTGGAGGCAGTGTACAACTTAACAATATTTAATGGATTGAAATTGAAATATTTATGAAAATTAAAAAACTCACTAAAATATATTAGTGTGTTTATATATTATTCAGCCAATTTTTATTCTATATTTTGTTAAACATAATTAGTTAATAATTAGGTCAATTGGTTTTATGTTTGTAAAAAATAAAATTGAGCCGATCAATTGAAATTCAAATAGAAGTTTTATTTAGTTAGCAACGACAACTGTAGAGTTACGCAGAGCACCAGATGTATTGAAAATCTTCTGGAAATGTAGAAAATTTCCAATACAAAATTGAATGTTGTTATTGGTAATAATATAAGTGAAAGCGGTTTGAATTTTCCGCTTTGTTTTTAACTCAGTCATTTAATTATTATCGGTAGTTTTCAAATGAAATATTCAGAAATTTTTTATGAACACGTAAACAAAAATACTTTAATAATTATGAAAAATAAAAAATTGAACATGGTGACAAAATTATGATAATATTATGCTGAATAAGTAAAAGTTATAAGCTTTAGTGAAGAACTTAAATGAAAGAGAAAGACAAGCAGAGTACAGCAAGCATGAGTGAGGGTGGGTATTTAATTTCACGCCGTTTGGTTTTAATTGAAGTCATGATGTTTCGCGTTTGTTTAACGGAGCACGTACGTTAATGGTTACATAAAATGAAGCTGACATGTTTGAAAATATTCTGGTCCGTCTTCGTTTTTTTAATTTTTTATACAAAGAAAAAATATTTTATAAAAATTCGCACATTTCTTGTCGAGCAGTTGTTTGCAGATTTAACTGGAATGAGATCAAGTAATAGATTCTAGCAGATATCAATTTTCAAACATGTATGTATATATTATATCATGTCAAAATGCTACATATCACATGTTTAAATTTATGCACCCATAACAAATTCAGAATAATTAATTATAATTTGCACTAAAATGATGCAAACAATAATTTATCATAGCTCGTCCTTCTTTTTCTTAATCAGTGACCGCAGCTTGTTGAGATTGTTGACGGTCACCTGGTCGGCTGGCTTCAAGTTCAAGGCCTTCATGTAACTTAACTCCGCCTCTTCATACTTTCCATTGTAATGAAGCATGGCCCCGAGGTTCATGTGCGTCATGGCCACCTGGTGAATCAAATTTTATTTAATGAGAAGTTGAGTTGAAAACAGGCAAGTTTCAATTTTTTGTAGTACTTTCGTTACTTAGAAAAAATTTGAAAAACCTGTGGTTGAAGTTCAGTAGCTCTTCTGTAATAATACTCTGCTTCAACATTTCTGCTGACAGTTCTACGCATAAAATGTTTCAAAAAAATTGTAAATAAAATGTTTACATGCTTTTTCTATTAAATGCAAAAAGAAAAATTTATTTGGCATCCTCTTCTATTTAAACAATTTAGTTATTTCATCGCATTTTGAACACTTCAAAAAAATAACCTGAGAGCGTTTGCTGTGTTGAAGACGACCTCAAACTCATCGGGAGCCAGTTTAACAGCCTCTAAATATCTGCTGGCACACTCCACCGGTCGACCCGCTTCGGCCAGGAATTGAGCTAACAAATAAATTATTCACATTCGCTCGTTTTATTCAACGGCAGAGTATGGAATGTTTAAATTAATGAAAAGGTATGTGACAGTGGCCGAGTTCTACCTCCAACCGACCGACAACATCATTACAAAACGGCTCGTTTCTCTACGTGCAGAACATTCTCGCAGCCAGCACGATGAAATATTATTATAGAACATCATGAGCGCCGGTCTGTGAATAATGGATACACTTTCCGCTCATTCTCTGCCAGCATTACTCAAGTCAGTCTTCTTTTCATTTAATCCATCATCATTTTTTCCTTTTATTCTTTGTATATGTTATATAAATATTATATATATTTTTTTATTTATTTAATTATTTATAATATATTACGTAAAATAAAATTTTACTTTTTGAACAATAATATTATTTTTTAAAACATATGAATAAACTCTATGTAGTCTACAAATGTACGGAAGCACACACTTATTTGAAAAATCAAATTAATACAAAATCTTAACTGTTGTCAAATAGTTTATTAAATCTACGTCCAAAATAGAGACAAAAATACACATACGCATACATACATACATACATATGCATACATACATACATACATATACATGCGCGGTTCGGTTCAAGGCACAATAACTTTTATTTGCATTTCTTCAAATTGTTGGTTACATGTTTCATAATTTCATTCGTTGAAGGTGTCAAACCCCCACCCTAACACTCAAGTTTATCAATTTAAATTTACGCTATTTGCGTTTTGTTTTCGTGTTTTTGTTCTGCATGTGTGCATAGCTGTATGTTTATGCGTGTATATGTGTGTGTTTATGTGTGTAAGCGTATGCGTCTATGTGTATATGTTAGTGTGTGCGCGCAATTTATTAATCTTATTTGTATTAGATATAATTTTTCTTGTTTCACTTTTATGGACCATTTGTGTTTCAGTGTCGTTTCTTATTGTAGGTTGGGTTTAATTTGCTTGAATCTTATATCATGATATTTTATTCCATTTCCACTTTATTTTGTATAGACAAGTTTTTGCATTTATTCAATTTTCCTTCAATTTGGTTTTTGAAGTTTCAACGAAGATCATTCCAAGTTGTGTTTTCATAATTTAAATCTGCATTTTACATGAAACATTTTTATTTTAATTTTTTTTATCATAATGAAACACATTTTGATTTTGGATTCAGCTTATTACAATTCCAAAACCAAAATGATTCGTGGCAAGTAAAATGGAAGATCGTCATCTTAAAACAAAATTTAAAATAAAATGATAAAATGATGTTGATGAACTTGGAGCATATCAGGTTGCTGCTTTCTGAAAATTTTATGAATAATATTTTTTGGTGAACTTTTGGACTGACAGATATCAAATTCCTTTCGTTATTCAAATTAGCGGCTACTTGTAATATAATATTTAATAATTTAGCAGCAACAAGCTTACAGAAGAGCCACACAATTGTTCAATATCAGCAACTTAACAACAGCATTAACTTCAACAACAACGACGACGACAACGACAGCGAAAGCAGTAGCGACATAAACGACAGGAACATGAGCATACCGTAATGTTGATGGACCGAGTAATCCTTGCCATCAATGAACATAGCTTTTCTGTAGAGTTTCTCGGCTTCATGCAGTAATCCCTGCGTATTGCATTGGAATTTATATGTGTGTATAACGTGTCGGCAATGTAGTTGACTGGCCGTTTCATACACACATGCTTAAAATAATTGTTATCTTAGCGTGCGCGCACTTCCATTGACTTTTATTCATAAATGTAAGAGTTCAATTTGTTTGGAGCAATGGAAAACCCACAATAATATTTGTTGCCGTGTGAATATACAAACAAAATCACACGCAGCAGATGGGCACAAATAAGCATTGCCAATAAACATAAACACGCATGAATAAATGTAAACAATAAAGAAATATAAACACAACAACTAAATCACCGAAGAACATTCATCACTGATGCAAATTACGACTCTATATAAGAATATCTCTCTGGCGGGACCCACCCATAAACATGTTATTTACAACATGCACACACGCCCACAGACACACACACCACACACAATTACACCACACACACCAAACACTCACACAAACAAATACCTACAAACGCGTATACATATACACGTGTTTACACAAAATCATACATATCAGCCAGTACACACACAAACATATACACATACAAACACACACACACAAACACGCGTATACATAAGTACACATAGACGGACAGATAAAGATGCAATATGCACGTACACATCATCCTCCATGTTCTGAAACAAGGCTAGATAGATGTAGATGTGAGCAATAAAGTAGCACAAATGAGCAAGCACAATCTTCTTTACGATGCATGTGATGACACACGTATGTACTCATTAAGATGTAATCTACATAAATTGCACTGCAGAAACAATAACAACGAAAATAACAGCAACAACAATAACAACATAACGACAAGGACAACAATCTCAAATCAACCAAACAACAGCAGCAGCAGCAACAACAAACATTAATTTATACACCACCGAATATTATCAAACAGAAAATAATTAAACTGAAAAAGTTTCACAAACACTGAAATAGCTGCAAAGCTGAAAAGTGAATGTCATAAACTTAATACGAAACTTTTATTTATTTTTTTTTCACAGCGTCATAACGATGAGAAATCAAAGCAGGCTTCAATAATTAACGATACAAAACGTTGAAAACATTGACAACGATTACTAAGCACATCACTGCTACAAAGCATCCAACAACAATAATATCCACAGAGACAATAAAATAAAAAGCAAAACAAAGAAGTAGAGCAAAATTGAATAACGGCCATAAACAAAACAACTTAAACGTCAACATTAAAAACAACATCAACGAAATGAAACATAACCACAAAACTGAAAAACTAAACAATTCATTGATGACAATTTTAACGAAAATAACTACATCAATAAAAATTAAACATTAAATGAACGTGTATAGAGAGAAAAAAATTTTAAGATTAAAAGTTTAAAAACGATTGGAATAAACATTGTTACCTTTTTCTGCATGAGTTTGGCCATGGTAAGATGAGCTGGCACATGGTCTGGTTTGACGAGGAGGGCCTGCTTGTAGTTGAACTCTGCCCTCGCCTCATCCTGCAACTTCATGTAGGATTCTCCTGTTGGAGGCAGTTAACATGTGGTTTTCAGTCAATCAAATGGTTATCTTATAAACATTGTGCAGTTTATACATGCAAGGTCTATAATTTATTTCACTGAAGCATTTGGCATTGTAATATTTAATAATTTAGTTGATTCGATCAAAATATTTACCTGTATCTTAGACAGGAATAACGTAGCATTTATTTATCGAGAGTATCATTAAAGTTGATAAAATTAAGCATACAAATATAACAGAATGGTTAAATTTTAAACACAACCTTCTTCTGAAAAATAAAAAATATAGAAGAATAAGGAGGGTAGAAGTGCCGACTGAAATGAAATGACGTCACGGAGATTGAATTTGTAAGTCTAATCGAACAAATGCATGTCATGAATGGCTGTTAGAGAGACATGCATGTATGTTGCTGCAGGTTTTGTTCAGTGCACCTTCACATACATACAAACACATACGTGCAGACACAAAATCACACAAACACATGAATATACGCAAACGCATTCACAGCAACCCACAAATGCATACACAGCATCACGCATTAATATTTGTTCCCACGGAACAAACAAAAAAGTGCGAAATTTCACGCAATGCATCATTAGAAAGTGTTCAATACAACTCGACTACGAATGCAACTTATTGACAGCCACTTGAAGAGATTGCTTGTTGAAAAACATTTTTGAACGTAAAAACGGATACACACGTTTGACTCCGTCATTGTTCAGAGGGTGTTACAGTAAATGGAATGCTTCATTGCAAAATAAATAATTCATTAAAATAGGATCATTTTTGTAAAAAGAGAACTTTTGCTGATCCATCACAGATGCAGCTATAATTAAACGCCAGCTACACCTCATTGTTAGGATTGAAACTAAATGCATTTATTTATTCAGTATCGAACAAATGAAAGAGAAATGGATTGCGCTATTGAAAACACATCAAATTTTAAAGATTGCAACTCAAAGTAGTGAATATAACTAAAAGATGTAAACAGTCCAAAAAAATTCAATAATAAATCTGCAGCGTAAAATTTACGTTGCCTACTTGCATACGCGCTTAAAAATATTTACCACAGACGACTGGCCAGCCTAATATCCCAAGTGCTTTGGCGCGAGTATCCATGCATGTCTGTGTCACGCATCGCCTGTTACCTAATGCAATTGCATGATGACGAAAATCATCATAAGTCTGTGCCGCAATATTTCATTTCACAATATCTCTCTCTCTCTCTTTTTCTCTCTCTCTATTTTTCTATCTCTATCTATCTCTTTTTCTTTCTCAATGTGCAAATACATGTTTTATTTAAGCGTGGTTAAGCTCCAGGTTAGAAGCATCAGTTTGATTCATTGGAAGTTTTTGGCATATTAAACTTTTCCAACAAATGTTTCTGTATAATCACTTGGTTCTATGTCAATCCGTCAATATGAAATGGCTACTTGCTTATTTAGTCTGGTGTGCACATCATGATCGTACATTTTACTGTTTACTTTTAAATGCATGTTTTGCAGTACAGGCAATAATATTACAATTTAGTTAATTGTTCAAGAATAAAGTATAATTTTACTATAACAACATAAAGACCTATGATAAGGACAAATTTTTTCAATGTACTTATTTTTTTAATTTATTTTCTTTTACACTCCAGTGTTTGTCCTGTTATTGTAGGCATAAGACTTGCTTCATTCAGCTGCACACGAACATCTGGGCACCAAGGGATTTGATACACTCAAATTAAAATAAATACTATCATCATGTATATATGTATATATACATGTTTATATTTTGTTAGGCACAGTTCAATGAGTATTTTTTCATAAATATTTTTCACTGAATAATTCGAAAAAATTTTAATTTCAAATCTTTATTGTAATTACAAAGATTTGTTAATTTTTAATCTGTGTACCAAAACGAAGACGTTTAAACAAGAAAAATAGATACTAAAACAGACAAATTCATGAAAATAAACAATAGATGGAATACAATGACAACTGGAATGAATAAATGAGGAAGTGGAGAGAGAAGATGCGGGCAGACAGGATACGGAGATGGAGAGAGAGAGAGACAGAGAGCAGCAGGAAGAAGGAGCAGGATGATACATTCATCACATGCTTGAGGAAACATTGACACATGCCGACAATTTTTGTATGTTTCGAATGGCTGTTTATGTGACGTACACATATAGAACACACATGCTTCATAAACAATATATTGAACGGTGAACATGAACTGTTTGCTTGCAACATATTAAAAGAACACTTACCGCTCTAGATAGTTGTATGTTATGTATGCTTGTATACGTATGTATGCATGTGTGTGTGTGTAAGTGTGTATTGGTGTATATGTGTGTATATGAAGTTAAGTTCGTCAGTAAATTGATTATAATGATGGCATTTGCCGAGTAATAAAGTTATTCTTTTTCCCTCGTATGATATTTTGATATTTTTATGTTTTTACCTTTTTGAAATGCCAAGTGAATTTATAATGTGTCAATATGTTGTTGGACTTCACGTTTGAAATTTATTTAAAGATGTTTGCACTGAGGAAGTCATTAGCGCTTCGGTACATTGCAGTTCCAGAGAGTTATGTGCAGCTTGGAACAGTCTTGCAAAGTAATGTGATGATGAGACAGCTTGCTGACGATGAAGATGATGATGTCATGATGCTAGGGCTGGCTTGATGTAATTTTAATGTGATAACGCGATAATGTTATTACGATTCGGATGATTGTATCCTGATACGATGTTGCGAACACGTGAAATGTATCTTTATCGCTGATGATATCATGATGGTAATAAAGAAGCAGTTGAACATTGTTATAGTGTTATGTGATGGGGAGATGATAAAATGATTTTGTTTGTTGCCGGCGATGATATGGCAATGCGATAACGAGGTGATGAAACATTGAACAAGATTTCATAATGCAATTTATTTATTTTTCACAATAGTACAAAAAATAATTTTTTCTCTTTTATTGATACAAAATGTTTGTGAAAACATTTCGTTAAATAGAAAAAAAAGATGATTATGGAATTTTGGGATGGAAAAATTTTTGGTAGTCCAAAAAATTGCAAAAATTAAAGAAGCCCATAATAATTATAATCCTATTGTGGCAGTATGTCAGGTAGTATCAAGGTACACAGTAAATGATAAGTTTATATCGTGTTTATAAAATGTCTAAAACATTTTAAAAGCTTCTGTCAAAAAATAATACTGCTGTGTAGAAAACTCGCAAATATAAAACTCAAATTTCAAAATTGAATGAATGATGGCAAACTGCTTTTCTAACCATGGACAGGTCAACAACAAAATTTATGGACTGCTGACGAAATATCCGTAAATGCTATTTGAATCATATCATTAATGGGGTTACTTGAATTTAAAATGTAAGATTTTTCATCATAATTAGATCAAATAAACAAACTTTTACCAAATTTTTCAATTTCATATATCGAACGGTCATAAAATCTTGTGCTTGGGAATTGCTTCAAATTGATGAAATCTGTAAATTTCAATAAAGTCATAATAAATCACGATCTATCCTATGAAAACACGGCTAACAATAAAAAATTCTGAAAGAAAAGGAAAAAAGATTGGTGTCAGGGACAATGTGGCAAATTGGACCTTCAGACTAAAGGGTAAACCGGGAGAATTTCATGCTGTTGCCTTTAAGAAACAACATTTAGTAATGTAATAAATTCAAGCGGTGAAAGTGAAAATAGTTTAAGAATTATCATGTCCAATGTGGATTCGTTGTCAAATAAACTGGATGATTTAAAAACATTTGTGAAAAGCCATAACACCTGATATAATCGCATTGAATGATGTTAACCCGAAGAACTTCATTCAAGCAGAACTTTGTTATAATTCAATCTTAATGGTTAATCAGTCTTCTCGTTAGAGTTTGTCATTGGTGAGGTAGCACATGGAGTACGGTGTGCAAGTATGAAATCCTTAGAGAGTCGGTTTAATAGAGGAGCTGGAAAAAGTTCAGAAAAGGGAAACGCGAGTGAGAACATCCTGCAGAGGTCTTTCATACTACGAGGACCGGTTAAGGAAATTGGAGTTGCCATCTCTGGTCTACAGACGTCCAAAAACCGACCTTATTATGTTAAATAGAATAATTTTGTTATATGAAATAATATATGGTCAGTTTCCTGCCGATGTTGACCTTATGCCTATGCTACTTGAAATAATAATAATATTGATTATCATAATAATAATAATAATAATAAACCAATATATATAGGCTCATTTTCAAACAAAATTTTAATAAATTTTTAAATTAATTCAAGAAATATAAATTTTGTAAGGCACGAAAACTCGAAGAACTCTGAGCAGATTTTTGAAGGAGAGAGAGAGGCGTAGATTAGAATTAACGAGCTCAATGCATTAAGCGGCAAGCTTTGAAGATGACAAGCGCTGTCTGAAAATAACTTTACCATCATAATAATAAACAACAACAACAACAACAACAACAACAATAATAATAATAATAATAATAATAATAATAATAGTAAACAGCAATAACTAAAATAACCAAAACAACTACATTAAAAATAATTTTACAAATACAACAGGCGAAAGTTTTAACAACATAAATAAAAGCAGTCACACACGCCAACAACTACAGCAACTTACAAATTATTACACAATTAAAATTTCTGTGGAATAAATTTTGTAAAACTTTTACTTGGAATATTCTCAAAAAATCAAACTGCGCATAATTCATCGCATTCTATTTCAAACCAAAAAAATTTGTCAGAAGAATGTAACTAGGCTCACAGCAACTATTTTTTTGTATCTGCTTCAAAGAAATCAAAAAAATATGAAGAATACAATTTTTAACAAAAAATTAACGAGATTGGAAAGTATTTCACGATTATTTGATAAAATAATTTTTTTTTTCAATAAAATAATTAAAAAAGAAAGAATAAAAAAAGAAGTATGAACAAACCTAACATATTGTAAATGCTCTGAGCCGGATAGTAGGAAGGTTTCCTCTCAATGGCTTGCTTGTAAGCCACTACTGCTTCCTGATTTTAAATTTTAAAAAAACTTCATCAAAGACCAAAGAAATACAAACATACACAAATACACATATAAACAGTTTTGCACACGTACTCAAGCGTACACTAATATATGTATACAATTTTTTATAATGTTGCTCAAAACGAACACACACAACACACTCGCGCTCGACAGCAGGAACACATGTTAATGTTTCAAAACACACACACACCAAAATCACACACGCACGCATACAAATTCACACACCACATACACCACACTCACACACACACACCACACCATACACACACCACACCATACACACACACACACACACAAACTCACACACACACACAAACTCATACACGCACACGTTCACAACAACACATTCTGCGCGTATTTTAAGTTGAGGCAATTTGCTTCGGCGTGTACGCTTGTGATTAAGTTTGTTAGTAGCTGGAACCTTTATGTTTATGGCTCACTGTAAATATTTCTATCTGTAAACATTGTATGTACATATGTATATATATATATATATATATATGTGTGTGTGTGTGTGTGTGTATGTGTGTGTTTGTAAGTGTGCGTGCTTGTGTGTGTGCGTCTGTGTGTACTTGTTTTACAGTGTGTATGCTACCGGGTGACGAGAAGAAAAGCAGAGCCTTCAAAACGTCGTGTTCATCACGTTTATTGACGTTCATACTTCATATTGGTCGGTATTCAGCAGGCAATTCCCAAATGTTGTCACAACATTTTTTGACGTCTGCTAATGAAAATATTTTGATTGTGTGTGTGTTCATGTTGTTTTTGTTTGTCGTCGAAGTTGCGATCACCAACAAGATTGATGGAGAGTATTTGAATTTAATCTAATCTAGTTTGCGATGTCAAACTAATCGCTAATGATCACCTTTTGTGAAGAGGAGTCAAGGAAGAGGAAAACGTGCACTTGCATTATATACAATGTATCATACTTTCTATTTGAGTTGCTGCGTTTTCGGCTGTCCATATTTCACGAGTGAATCGCCATCTTTTGGATTGATTTTCTGGCGTGGATGAAAAATTTTGAAGATGGAAGAAGAGTTATTATGGATGGCAGAAGCAATTATGAAGCTGCC